GGGCCCAATCTCAAATTCGATACTATTTTCATAAAAAGCGCCCCCAAAACATAATAGTCGACCCTGATATCGATTTAATTAAAAAAGTTAAAAAAAGTCGGGCCCGGGGGCCCAATCTCAAATTCGATACCATTTTCATAAAAAGCGCCCCCAAAACATAATAGTCGACCCTGATATCGATTTAATTCAAAAAGTTAAAAAATGTCGGTGCCCGGGGGTCCAATCTCAAATTCGATATCATTTTCATAAAAAGCGCCCCCCAAAACATAATAGTCGACCCTGATATCGATTTAATTCAAAAAGTTAAAAAAAGTCGGGCCCGGGGGGCCCAATCTCAAATTCGATAACATTTTCATAAAAAGCGCCCCCCAAAACATAATAGTCGACCCTGATATCGATTTAATTCAAAAAGTTAAAAAAAAGTCGGTGCCTGGGGGCACTATCTCAAATCCGACAGCATTATCATAAAAGTCAAGTGGTGTAGAAAAAAAAAAATGGTCCCCAAAGTTGATTAAATCGAAAATATTTTAATAATTCTTTATTTTATTGATTTACATTAATATCGATACTAATTTTAAAAAACTATACCCCCATAAGATACAACATAAGAGATGGACTTAAACATGGAAGAAATATTAAATATTCTACTTCTGTAATTTTTATAATGAAATACTCGATTACTTTGAAAAGTACTCAGAGTAAAATATTCCCGAGTAGATTTGAAAATAGAAAGTACTCACGAGGTCAGCTGATTACTTTTTGTACTCGTCAATCATGAGGTCGAGTAGTGATTGAAGTACTCGATACTCGAACCGGGCGAGTATTTGAGTAAATTACTCTGTAATTGTACTTTTTACTCAGAGTACAATTTTGCCCATCTCTAGTTTCTAGTCGTTTCAGTCTAGTATGTTGGTTCCAAGTGAGTCGTTTGTCAAGGTGGAGTCCTAAGTATCGGATTTGTTCGACAGGGATAAGAGGGCTATTGTTGAAGGATACTGTAGGACAGGAAGTCATAGGTTTACGGCGAAGAGTGAAGGTAATTTGATGGGATTTATTGGAATTTATTTTAATCCTCCAGTTTTGACACCATTTTTCAAGACTTGTGATGTGTGATTGAAGAGTTTGGGATGCAATAGATGGATCGTTATTAACTGATAGGATACACGTGTCATCGGCATAGGTGGTGATGACAGTGTTGGATTGGGTTGGGATGTCAGCTGTATAAACTGTGTAAAGGATAGGACCTAGGATACTACCTTGAGGAACACCGGCAGACTGAGTAAAAAGAGATGAATGAGCATTGTTATGATTGACTTTGAAGTGTCTGTCAGTAAGGTAGGAACGGATAATGAGGAAGTATGTAGGTGGTAGGAATTTACGGAGTTTGTACATCAGTCCCGGATGCCAGACTCTATCAAACGCCTGTTCAACGTCGAGAAAGACTCCCGTGCAGTACATTCCGCGCTCCAATGCAGAGGAGACTACATCTACCACACGATGGCATTGCTGAATAGTGGAGTGGGATGTGCGGAATCCAAATTGGTGATCTGGGATAATGTGTTTAGAGTCTAGGATGGTATACAGGCGTTTTAAGATAAGTTTTTCCAGGATTTTGCCCATAATGGGTAAAAGAGAGATAGGACGGTAAGAGGATGGGTGTTCTGGCGGCTTTATGGGTTTAGGTATCATTTTGACAATGGATAGTTTCCAAGAGTCAGGAAAATATGTGGTTCGGAGTACAGCATTATACATATAGGTAATTTTAGGATCTGAGATGTGATTAGGTCATGGCCAGGAGCTTTGCGGGAAGGTAATCTATGAATGATATTGGATATTTCTGAAGGATGAAAAGCTTTAGGTGGAGGAGTCAATTGGAGTGGGATATCCAATTCTGCTTCAATAAACTCAAGGTTAAGATATCTGGGTGTGGATTAAATGTTTTTGAGAGGTGCTGAGCAAATATTTGAGATTTTTCTTCGTCAGATCTGGACCAGGTTTGGGTTTCAGTAATAAGTGGGTGGTTAAAATCTTTGAATTTAAGGAGCTTTTTAGTAGTCAACCATAGTGATTTGTCAGAAGTAGTAAGTTGTTCTGTCATGTTAAGTAAATTTTGAACTTTGTATTTTCTAATTTCAGCTTTTAGTTGGTTAGTTAATTTGTTGTAATATGTCTTATCTGATGGGTATCTAGTCCTGTGCCACTTCGATCTTGCTCTGCGTTTTTCCCTTAATAAGATACGAATATGCTGCGGCAAATTTGTCTGTTGGGAGTTGTCAGTTTTATTGGTAGATGTATTATCGTTTATTTTGTCACTTATAGATGTAGTAAGTAATTCTATGGCTGTGTCAATGTCACGTTTCGTCTTAAGTGGAATATTTAGGTCCAGTTTATTTTCCAGGTCTTTACGAAATTTGTCCCAGTTTACTCGTCCTGTAATCAGTGTAGGAGAGGAGGAGGGCTTAGGAGCGAAGGTTGTGTGTAATGAAAGCAGAACTGGAGAATGATCTGAGGAGAGGTCATCCAGGGATTTGATTGTGGCATGGGAAGAGGAAATTTGGGAGGTGACAAATATGTCCAGGATATCAGGGCGTTTTTTAGGGATGTTGGCCAATAGGTAGGATTCATAGGAGAGAGGACAGAGTAACTATTGGAAGTTGAGACAGAAGATAGTATGTTACCACGGGAGTTGGATGATCGACAACCCCATCGTTGGTGTTTAGCATTGTAGTCTCCTCCAGCAATAAAGCGCGATCCGAAGGATTGAAATAAGGATTCAAGTAAGTTGTAGGTAAGAGTATGACCAGGAGGACAGTATACAGCTGAGAATGTTAAATGGAAAGGACGAGTTGAAATGATTACTGATGTTGCTTGAATAGCCTCAGTTGGAGTAGAAGGAATGAGAGAATGGGATAAGGATTTATGGACAAGAACCGGCATGGGAAGTGTTGTCGGGGTGGTCTGATCTATAAGTGATATAGTCACGTATGTAGAAATATGAACGTCGAGTGAAATGAGTTTCTGTCAGTAGAGCAATATGAATGTGCTTGACATGAAAAAATGTCAAGTTCGTCTCTGTGGTTGTGTAGTCCGTTAGCATTCCATAAAAGAACAACTAGGTGCTTTGTGCTCATCGTGGGAGATTAAAGGGAATTTCGGTAAGGATTCTTGTGAGGAGGGTGATTAGTGGCTTGATAGTTTCTTGAAGATCTTTCAGGAACTAGGCAATGGTGGAGTTTATTAAGTCGATCGGGTTTTGTTACTCAGGTGGGTTTTCGATCAGAGATTCGTGAGGGACAGGTGTTATGATGAGGAGTCTCTGATGAAGGTTGTACATGTCGTGATGTACTAGGGGCTGGATTATAAATAGATGGGCTTTGAGAAGAAGAGTTAATGTGGGCAGTAGGGTGGGAGTAAATCGGAGTTGGATGTTCAGGAGGTAATTTTACTCGTAGAGGTATCTGATGAAGAGGCATTTGCTGACTTGGATATTTTGACTGAATGTGGGAGGTGTGAGTCTTGGATTGGGAGTTCTGGGTCTTAGGATTGGAAGACTGAGGCGTCTGACGTCGCGGCTGATTCTTCACCATGGTGCCTGAATATAGTTGCCTAGAGTCCTGATGGAGATGATATGTTACACAATCTCAAATGCCTCTTTAAGCGCCTTTTCACTTCGTGCAGCTATCACCAGGTCATCAGCGTAAGCACAAATTTGCCAGGTCTTATCAACGATGGTGACTTTTTTAGCTGCATCTTTCACAGCAGCATGCAGAGCTATGTTAAATAGTGTTGCCGATAAGGCATCTCCTTGACGCACTCCAGACTGTACCTCGAACAATCGACCAACTTTATTTCCAATAATAACTTTGGATGTTGCATTTTCCATGGTCATGCGTATTAAATTAATTAGGTTTGTAGCACTCCACTTTTCATTAGCATTATTAACAGAGCTGATATCTTGATGCTATCAAATGCCTGCTTGTAGTCAATGAATAACAAGTGCAGATCAATGTCATACTCGTAGCATTTTTCCATCATTGGCCTTATAACAAAAATTACATCCTTAGTACCGAGGCCAGCTCTAAAACCACACTGGTAATCATCTAAAATTTTCTCAGCATTTTTTCGCAGCCTTTTCAATATTAAACTAGAAAGGAGTTTATACAGGACTCCCAACAGGGTTATACTTCCATACTGGTATTATTTTTAATAATATTATTGTCATTTTTTTTATTAATTCTTAGAAATTATGAATTTAAATTTTATTAAATTAGCCACAAATTTAAGTTATGTTGACTCAATTACGACCATAAAAGTTTTATTTGTGACGAATGTGTGATTTCCAATAGAAAATTATGATCAATGAATTTTCTCCTCCTAAATCCGGCTATAGGCCCCACTGTACCCTGGCTTTGGGCTTTGACTGTACATTCTGCTTCATTGTTCAACATTTTTAGTTATATTATGTTTTTTTTATCCTTGTATATCATAAAAATAACCGTAACTGGAATTAACCGTTTTAAGATTAGATTAATACTCTGAAATGATAAACATTTTCCCACTTAATGGTAAAGCATGAGTGAATACATTACGCTGAATGATTTATATGTATCACTAAAGACAATAGTTTTTACTTAAACTAACATAAAATTGAAATGAACCCTAGAATTCTAAAAATAATTCTATTATAATGAATCTTATAAATATAAAAAATTGGAATTAAATAAATTACACAGTATTATTTTGGGGTTTACGTCTATTGGATTCGTACTTGACTTGTGGAATTGACTATTACTGTCTGTTACTGCCAACAGAATGCGTTGTGTTGATGATGTTAGGATATCTTTTTCGAATTCGAGTTCTTTCTCTTTAGTATATACATATATGGTGTTATCAGCTGGATAACTAAACTGATTACCAAAGGTGTAAATATAATAGGAAATGTTTGGTGTATTAACACCTTTTAAGTTAATAGTTAATATGGTGGTTTATTAAGGAACATAATGTCCGTATTGGATAGATCTAATATAGTTATATCGTTTCGTGAACATGTTAACAGTTCTAGAGGCGTTGAAGAAGAAGATGTAAGTGTTTATGTAACCTAGTGACATTAGTCTCCTTGTGAAATTTGCACTTATTGTTTTCAATAACTTTTACACATGAAATTTATTCTAGAAACATTGGATGAAGTGAAACATTTTGAGTTATTAAAGCTTTTCATTTGGGATTTCCTATAAATTTTAAAATGTTAGTAATTCTGTGTTCCTAAACTGATATTTTGGATTTTTTATTGCAATATTTGGAAGCTACAGGTTTCTTTGCTTAGAACTTTCAATACTTGGTATGTGATTACAGTAGTAGCTCATTTTGTATTCCCTGTAGTGTTTCTTCAGGAGAATGGGTAGTGTCCTTCCCTTGGTTTATTTGTTTTAGCCTTTTAGTGAATCCAGATTGTGATGAGACATCAGATATTGTATGATTAAACCATTTCTCTGAACAAGTTGTTCATTAGAAGAAGTCTTAATGTATTGTCATTTTAAATTTCATTTCAGCTATTTTGATTTTGTGCTCTAGAAAACTTCATTCAGTATATCGTTTGAATAATAGTGTTAATAATACTATTTGAGTTGTAGTTAAAAGCATGCTTCTACTTTATACAAATGCCCTTTAGTCATTATTCACAAACTATGTAATGGATCGTTCTTATTCATATCAATATATCATCTTATATAATTCCAATTCTTTTAATATTAAATAAATTCGGACTGCAACAAAATCCGTATTATTCTCTTTTTTAAATATTTGTTTAATGAACCATCTTGAAAGCAATAGAAGTGTCACTTCAGGTTGACAGGTGCGTCAAGATCATATATTCACTGTCTCTGGAGTGCCAAAGCTAGCTGATCGCATCAATTTTTGAATAGATTACGGTAGATTACATTTTATAAGTTAACATGTTAGACTTAATTAATTGGTTTGTAGATAAAAAAAAAAAAAATATTAGAAAAAATTAACTTAAAATAACCAAATGTAAAATAAATAAAAAACTAAACAGGTTTATACATAAAGATTTATTTAAGTCACATGTTACAAATCTTTTAGCGGTTAAGTAAAACAGGCCACCTAGTAGTAAAATATAATTTGAAATCTTTACAGAACTATAAATACGATATATTCTATTCTATTAAAACTGGTTATATTAACTTGTGGACAGAGATAATCTAATAACTTCAATTTTAAAAAGTAAAAATTATTATAAGAAGTTGAATAAATTTTAAACTTCTCTATTTCATGTCAGTCAATAGAAATCCATGGAATTTATGAATTTTGATTATTATTTTTGTTCATTCTTAATTATTGGTTCATTATTAAGTTGTTCTTTAGGTACTGTATTAACTTCTCATTTTTTTTTAAGTTTATCCCTTTGACTGCAGGAGCTCATTCACAAATTTCTACAATACGTTGCATCCTGAAATCCACAAAGACATCTAAAAAAAAGGATTTTTTTTCTCTCATAAATTGGTTTAAAATGCTATTTTGAGTCTCCTTGCAAGATCTTAGATTTCAAAAATGCATTTTTAAGTTTTTTTTTACTTAAAAAAAAACCGATATATGCCTTGCCGACCACACATAGCAATGCAAAATTAAAGCGGCATTCCCTCAACACTTCGCTTTCTTGCGTATTTGCTCATTTCTGTAAAGCAAAATAACTGAAAATGATCACAAAAATAACTGCAAGTGTTCATAAAAATTAAATTATATTACTTCTAAAACAGGACATGGACAGCAGGATTCGAATTATATATTTCTTTGTATTTCCAAATTTTTTTCATACCTAAAAAAGTTTCATGTTAAAAATAGTGTTATTGCACTTACATTTATTTAGAGTTGCAAACACTTTTATATTACATGAAATATATATATATGTATATTGTTTTTAGGTGGATCAAACAAAAAATGATAAAACAACTAAAGCCTCATTTTAATTCTGTATATTTTTACATTTATTAATTTTTATTTGAAACTTACATTTATTTGTTTAGTAGACAGAGATTCACGTGTACCAAAATTTAAAAAAAAAATATATATATAAAATTGACTTATTAACATTTATTTTATTTATTAAAATACAAATAACAGAGAAAGGATATATCTTGGGTTTAGAATAAATCTGCAAATGATAGCTTTCAAATGGTCAGAATCCGGAACGACTTCACTGAATTTGCTACAGGGGACTAATAAATGAACCGAATAAGTCACATGTCAAATGGTGTAGGCGGGACTTGCCTCTGCCTGTTTAAGTTGTGACCACCCAGGTGGGAAGGTATATATCCAGCCGCACCAGTGACCCCACTCACTACCGGGAAGGCATATATCCCGTCCGCACCAGAGACCTAACTCTTAACGGGAAGGCATGTTTCCCGTCCACACTCAAAGGGTTAATGATCATTATTTTAATTGAATTCCTGGCTGCATTATTATTGTTATTTGCAGTTATTGTGCTTAATAATCTAAAAAAAGGGTCTTTTCCAGATTAACCCTATCAGTTATTCATTAAGAGTAATTTGTTATTTTACGTGATTAAAAAAAAAACCATGATATTAAAAACTTTAATTATAATTAACCTAATTCACATTTCGTACTTTCACTTACCTATATTTGCTATTTATAGTAAGGGAAAGTTTTGCAATTGAGTTTTCAACAGAAGTACACTTTTTAGGGTCTTTTGAATTGAAATAACCAAGTCCCACGAAATAGCCTGTTTGTGTGTATGTGAACAGTCTAGCTCAAAAACGAAAAGTAGTATGAAACTGAAATTACATATTTAAGGTAGATATATTCCTGAAATGTTACAACTTTTTCCTGAAAATTGGCTAACCGAAAGTGCCACTTTAATAACCCATTTTATACATGTTTACAGTTTTCTGAAATAAAGTTTTAACTATGTTGATCAAATACATTCTATCAGTGTAAAATTAAGCAGTTTTTAGCATAATGTAGGTCTTATTCACATTAATATTCTCCAACAGGGCTTAAATGCGTAATTTTCAAAATTTCTTTCTCTAAAATAACTTAATTTTTTTTCTAAATAATTACTCCCATATTGTAAACTACTATAAACAATGGTTAAATATAAAATATGAAAGAATTTGATAATTAACTAAAAGATAAATAAGAGATAGTAATAGAGAACCGAATAAACCCGAGCTTCACCTAAAGGTTACAATAGGCTTCTATATGTAACCGTATTTGATAAAATATGGGCTCTGATAATATTATGTACCTATGTAAATGAAATAAAAAGTAATTTTACTCTGGGACCGAAGTCCCCTTAAAGTAATAGCAAGGTTCAAAAAATATACAGTGTCTAGTTCGAAATGGCCAAACTTTGGGGGGTAATTTTAAACAGAATTGCGTCTTCCTTAAGATGGTCACGTTTTTTATTGAATAAGAAGAAATTGCTCTGAAACTATTCAACATAATTAAGTTCTAAGTATACCATCGTAAAGTAGGTAAAATTTTCTTTTAGAAAACTGATTAAGTTTACTAAGGTCAATGATAAAAGTGACTTTCAGGAGGTCTAATAAGACCACTCCACTGCTGCTGTTACGGTACCCATCCACAAGCTTATTTCTGTATTCTCGATTCATATGCAACAGGAGAGCGGTTGTATTAGACCTTCTGAAAGTCCTTTTTATCATTGACCTTAGTAAATTCAATGACAGTTTTCTTAAAGAAAATTTTGTCTACTTTATGATGGGATGCTTAGAATTTAATTATCTTGAATAGTTTTAAAGCAATTTCTTCTTATTCAATAAAAACTTTACCATCTTAAGGAGGACACAAAAATTGTCTAGCACACCCCAGAGTTTGGTCATTAAGAACTAAGACACCCTGTATACATCAGTCTACCATGTAGATATAATAAAAATTTATACAAAAAATACTTAGAAAAATACAAAGATATACAAAAAATACTAAGAGAAAAATAAAAAATAAAATGGCTCTTATCAATTAACTGTTGGTGAGCAACTGTAATTATATAACCTATAAATTCTTAAAAGCTTGCTGAAGTTTGAATGTGTAGTAGGTGGTGGAATAGGAATTGTTTGAAGGAATTTGTGGAGGTGGTTTGACATCTGGTGATAGATAAGGTGTTCCACAAGGTGGTAGCACGAATGATGAAGAATTTTCTGGAAGAAGTTGTTTTATGGGAGGGGATATATAGATCTATAGGTTGAAATCTGGTATTAAGAGAGTGGATAAAAGAATGTAGAGTAAGCAGTTCTTGGATGTAGGGATGATTTTTGGTTCTGAGGACTTGGAAAAAGAAAACACCAAGAAGGAATTGCTGTCAGGAAGTAGGATAAAGCCACTTCAACTCGATATATAGGGAGGAAACATGAGTACGCCTGGAAATGCCAAAGATGAATCTTATGAAGCAATTCATGAGTCTCTTCAGTCTTGTAGATAGCTCTCCATACACCAAGCAACCGTAGTCGAAGTGGGAGAAAGCAAGGGACATTACAAGGAGCTATCTGGTTACTTTTGGAATGGAATCGTAGGAATTGTTTAAGGATAGTTATAGATGTACTGATAATCTGGGAAATATGGTTATTCAAAGAGAGGTTCTGATCAAAGATAACTCCAAGGTTATCGACTGTCGGAAAGAAATGGATGGGATGGTTATTGAGGTAAAGTAGAGGAGAGGAAAGAAGGGAACCAATGAGGTGCCTGGAACTGATGAGGGTAGCTTTAGTTTTATCTACCTTCAGCTTCAGTTCATTTTTTGTTTGCCCATCTGTGGATACAGTCAATATCCCCTTGCAGTTTTCGGGTAGCATCATGCATCTCAGAAGGTTGGAAGGATAAGTAAATTTGTAAATCGTCTGCATATAAGTGATAGTTGGAGTTCTGAACGGAGTCAGGAAGGTTGCTAATATAAATGGAGAAAAGGGTCAGAGAGAGTGAGTAGCCTTGAGGAACACCTTGATAATTGATGAGACAAAAAAAGGAGATTTGTTAGGAATAACAACTGTCTGGAAGCGATGAGATAAAAAGGAGAGGGACCATTTTTGAACACTATTCGGTTTTGGAGTTTGAAAAGGAGAATATTATGATTGACAGCATAGTAGGCTTTTGAGAATTCGAAAAGAACTAAGATAGAAATTTTCTGGAACTAACTAAGATATTGGATGGAGTATTTGGAACGAAAGCCAGATTGTAATGGATTTAGGAGATGGTTTTGCTCGAAAAAGTTATTCAACTGACAGTGAACTAATCTTTATAGAGGATTAGATAAAATAAAATGGATCTGAAGTCGGAAGCTAATGAAGGAGCAGGAACTCTGTTCAATGGCCGAACAATGACTTTTCCTTATGAATAATTACAGCTTTCTGATAAAACTTCCCTCTTGTTGGTATTCAAACTGGAGTATAACCTAAAGGAATTTATTTTTCTAACTAAATGAATCTGTTAACAGATGTTTATATAATAGAAAAAATATAAAAACTGTAGCATATACTAAATTTAATATTTTTGGTTTTTTAGTGAAGTGTAAATTTGTTCATATTTTCTGTTGCAGTTTAATTGTCTAAACCATAGGGTTTTAAAAAGAACATATGTTTATTATTAGTTAGTATGTAAACAAGTTGTTAGTTGAGTTAATAAATGAATTAAAACATTTATTTTGATTTATATGTTAAGAATATAATAGTGGCGCTGCGGACATATAGAAAAGAATATACATGCCTCAAAAAACGGATCGAAACGGAAAAATCATTGTGAAAAATGTGGGAAAAGATTTTTTTGTAACTTGTACATATTGGTTGATATGTGTAAAAAACACAATTGCTAACATGGGTCACCAAGGGTAAATTACGGTGAAAAAAGAGTTTTTCGATTTTTTTAAAAATGTTTTTTCACCTTTAACTCCTAAACGGTACATCAAAGCGAATAACGTGCTGTTAAAGACATTAAAGAACGTTAAATTGTGCGTCGAATGAGTACCTAAGCCTACTAATTTGGTCAAGAGGTATGGCCGATAACCATGGCCAACGAACGTTGATTTTTACCATATTCATCAAAAACTGAGAAAATTAACTATTAATGACATAATAAACTATTAAAATTAACTAGTTGCAGCTTGAAAACCGGTTCTTTAAGAGAAAAAACTCGGGAAATAAAAGTTGTACAGCACCAAATTCCACGTCCACTGAGTACTAACAGTTTTAATGTAGATCAATTGTATCTCTCCAATCAGGATTCGTTATTTCTTCATAAAATTCAGATTTTTTTTTTTATACCTCATTTCACAAAATCCTTGGCTGTTGAGATGTAAAAAAGTGTCCTATACTGTATACGCTAGACTCTTAACAAAAATAACTGAGTATAATAGACACCCATACTGTTGAAATATTTAAAATTCCATATATCTTCATTCCAGCCATTGCTGTTCACTACCGATTTCGAGCGGATTAAGTAACCTATATTTAATCTGTTGGTACTCAGTGAACGCGGTATTTGATACTCTACAACTTTTATTCTATGAGTTTTTTCTCTTGGAGAACTGTTTTGCAAGCTGCAGCACCATTTATTGTAATTTATATCAGTTTTTGATCAATTAGCTAAAAATCAGCGTTGGTTGGCCATGATTATTGACCATACTGCTTAACCAAATTATTAAATTTAAGTACTCGTTCGACTCCCCAAGTTAACGTTCTTTAATTTTTTTAAGAGAATGTTTTTCGCTTTGATGCACTGTTACGGAGTTATAGGTGTAAAAAATATATATATTTAAAAAATCTGGCTTTTTTGGCTGTAAAAAGGTTCCCCTTGGTGACCCGCGTTAGTATTTTTTTTTGCCATATCTCAACCAATATATACAAGTTTGGTTCCCCTTGGTCACCCGCGTTAGTATTTTTTTTTTTTTTTTGTATGTCTCAACCATTATATACAAGTTTAAAAAAACAAAAACTTTTCCCACATTTTTCGCAATGATTTTCTCGTTTCGATCCTCAACTTAATATGTTAATATTCTTTAAATCAGCTGCCATTTTTACAGGCAGCAAGATCCAACTGGTAGACTCTCATTTTTTAAATATAATTTTTATAAATATTTTTTATAAAAAGTTTTCATCAAATAGTGTCGATTTTTTCTCAGGGATCTCGGACTACTAGTCAATCCATTTGAACTCACCAGATTTTTATTTTGTGTTTGACATTGAGAAGAATCCGTTTCTAATTATTCATTCTGTCCTCTTTATATTCAATTCAAACATTAACGAATTGACTTTTATTCTTTTTTTTTTTTTAATTCGTGAGTCTTCATGATTAAAATTTCTTCAGCAAGTAGAGTAATAATATGACTGTACAAGATTATAAACCAAAGTTATCTCTCTAATCATTCTTAGACTTTTAAAGTACCGAAAGTTTCTTCTTATGGTAATTGTCATGACCTTTTTTAAACCACTATCCTCACTTTTGAGGTGAGTTATTGTAAAAAAGAAATGTAGAGCATATCAATCATTGTCATGGTTTTAGTTTAATATATGAAAAATTACTGGAATTGGAAACATTTTCCCATAATGTATGAAAATTCTAGAGAATTATTTTTTCTTTTTCTTCTGTCATGGAATATTTAATAAAATTTATTGTATATCTTTCCAATCTCTTCGAATCTTTCTAATACATTTCATGTTCTTAAGCTCTTTAATTCTAGTTTCAAGTTGGTATTTATCTGACCGCACCCCCGACTAACTCCTTCTCATAATGATAGTATTATTTAAGAAACAGCTTTTTTACTGAACCATATCTTGAAGAGTACTAAATTTTTAACTAGAAAAAAAAATCTATGCTTGTATTGAGACCAACTATTTCTTTCATTGTTATATTACTCTTTGAACCTCTTCTTCATTTGTATGCTCTAATAATTCCACTTAATTGTATCATTGCAGGAACATGTGATCAGTGGCCTGAGAATAAAAGTTATTAGTGGTCATCAGCTGGCAAAGAAGGATATTTTTGGTGCTAGGTATTAAATTAATTATTAATTATTTTATGAAATTTAGTAGCAGCCTCTGTATGATATGTTTTATGTTCTAGTGACCCATATGTAAGGATTGACCTTTGCACCATTGATGGGGAAAAAACCATCGATTCGGTTTTGACTAAAACTAAAAAAAAGGTAAAAACCATTTGTCTGGTATGTTTCCTAAATGATTAAGTTTCTTATTACTAGAATGTTAATGTTTCTTACTTCTTTGTATATGTATTTTGTGTGAGCTCTTTCGAGACTTCATGTTTGTATATGTGTTTCTTTATTTCAGTATTTTGTAACAAGGGTAGATGAAAATATTCAAAAGGTACAAATAGGCCTATCCTATTTGTGTGTGAGATTCTTACCCAATAATACCTCCTCCCTTCTCTTGTTCATCCCTCTCCCAACAGCTCTACCGTTATGTATTACTTCATAGAGGGGACTGGCTATGTGCCATCTCATAGTTTAATTATCGTCTATTAACAGTAGTCATTTGACAATATTTGACTTCTTTCTTGAAGGCTAATGACCTTATTACTCATTTCTTCCGCTCTCGATTCCTTCAAGATAACTGGAGAATTTCTTCACTTCAATGTGAATTTCTTCCCAATGTTTGTCTATGCACAACGTACAGCTCACCAGGTTTTCGGGAGTGACTTCACACCACAAAAATTCTCCAATTCTTTCTTTCCTCAATGAAGTGGCTATATGCAAAGGATATGTGTTTTACCATTTCTTTGATTGCCAGGCATGCTTGACTTTCGGTGGTGTTATTCAATTTGAATTGATAATATCAATTCATACAGTCTCTAAAACATAAGGACCTTCCACAAGGTTTGGTGCTGAGTCCCTTCCTGTTTAACATCATGATTGATGATATCATGGAACTCACCGAATCCATTTAGGGTACAAATGCTCTGCTGTATGCAGATGACCTCATTATTTAGGCAGGAAATAATTAACTTCTAAGGACTATAAAATCACATGCCACAGGTACTGGAATTACTAAAGAAGTGGGTCGATGAAAACGAGATGATCGCTAATTACAAAAAGATGGAATTCCAGCTTTTTACCCTCTTCACCAAAACACACAAGATAAATTTGAACTAAAATATTGTGGAGCTCAAATACACAGAAGAAGCTACATATTTAAAAGTGAAACTCGATAATGGACTCTCTTAGAATAAACATATTGAGAAACAAATAGAACAGGCTTCAATACATTTATCATTAATACAGAGGTTAGGTGGCAACAGGGGATGTTATGGCCCATGCCTACAAAACTTATGTCCGTCCTGTTATTGAATATGGCACAGAACTTGTTATTAAAGGTTTAGACACGATCTCACACAAGCTGGACATAGTTCAAAAGCAGGCCCCCAGACTCGTTACAGGAGGGAGCAAATCTAGTCCAATATATGCTCTAGAATTATAAACAGGCATAGTAACTCTTGAGACACACTGGGAGCAATTGGCCATTGTGGTCTATGAAAGGCTAAAACATCATAAGAATGCCTTAAAACACAAATTACTTTTACTAAGGTGATAGAAGCCTCCATACAAAGGAAAGAACTAGAACTAGCTGAAAGGAAGCCTCTCCTGACAATAATACAAGTTCCATACATTTGCCAATTTGTTATGCACTGTGATCTTCAGAAAGTTTCCAAGGGCTCAACACCAATTAACTAACTAAAGGCTATAACCCTAGAAACCATTTGTAAAACGATTCCCTGAAGCATAATGGCCCCATGTATATACTGATGGTCCTGCACTGGAAGTACACAAACATGCCGGAGCTGAAGTTTATTCAAAGGAATTTCAACTTGCTGCCCCGGTCGGAAGGATAGCCACAAACTTTGAAGGAGAAGTGAGAGCTATTCTCTTGAGAGATTATTTGAACGGAAAGACAAAAAAGTTGCTTTCTTTGTTGACTTGCAGGCAGCGATTTTGTCTTCCCCAAAATGGATATAATATAAATCCAAATGTCCTTAAATGCCATCTGCTTTTGGACCAATTAAAAGAAATCTGGAGAGAAGTAGCTTTCCAGTGGATACCAGGCCATTGTGGGTTCCACGGAAATGACGAGGCTGACAATTTGGCCAGAATAGGTTCTAGAATGATCCAACCAGATATTTCTCTGGGTATAGATTCAACAAATAAAAGAATAATAAAATAGACCCTCTAAAGTTCACTAAAGTCAAAATATGCCCAAAAATCGAAGGGGATCGATGGAGTGGATTGCTGAAAGAAAGTGGCAGGATCCCAAGAGACCTCCCTAGAGGGCAATCCGAGAAATGCTTTAGAATGGAACAGGGAATGATTTCCTGCAAATGCATCTCCTCTGCTTCAGTATAAAAGATAGCCGGATCTGCCCTCTGGATAGTATGAAAGGGGAACATCTTGACACATGCCCTAAATTACAGGATATAAGATGTGCTTTTAGTGAAACAGACATATCTTATGCTAAGAGAGAAAAATTATATTGGACTGCAAGATTACTAATGGCTGATCGAGCAGGTGTTATTCAGGCGTTGCAAAAAAAAAAAAAAAAAAAAAAAATGCTTTAAAACTTCCTTGTTTAATCTGCAGTTGGGTTACATAGAAGTCCACTTCACCTTGTCAACAACCATATCATGAGCTTATATCAGATACTAATCTGTAGGTAGGTCCACCTTCTGGTATTAATTGTATCCCAAAGCTGTTTTCAATGGCTGATGGTTGTTTTTCATTTTTCTTCCCTTGAGATCTTTAGAATTTCGACTGTAGAATCTGTTTCTCTCATCAACTAACAGTTCGACAAGTGCTATTGCATATGTCATTTCATAGAAAAGAACTTGCTATGAACGGAAATGCACTTGCTACAATTGCTGCACTATGCTGAGACCATTTATCTTGTGTTTGATTTTTCATTATTCTTTTTCCATTCTTCCAGGTATAATAGATTTAGCTAAGAATACATCTAATGCCTGCCTACTGTGACAGTCATACTCTCCATTTTTTTACTTCATTGCGATAAGTATAAGTATTGCGATCGTGAACATTTTTGAATCTGAGTTTTGAATGGAAATAAACGTTTTCAGGTCCCCTGAGTCCAAAAAGGGTCCAAAATCCCAAGAGCCACAAAATGGTTTGTATGTGTGTGCGCGCACGCGTGCAATCAGTCTAGCTCAAAAATGGAAAGTCGTATGATACTGATATTACCTATCTAAGATAGGAAAATGCCTTGGATGTGATAGTAACTTTTTCCTTAAAATCGACTAACCGGAAGTGGCACTTTAAATCAATGGTCCTACACATTTTTACAATTTTCTCAAAAACGGCTCCAATGATTTTGATTAAACTCGGTGTATCATTGTATAATTATCTTCTGGTGTCTTTAATATCGTTGAGGTCTTATCCCCATTGATGTCACTTTGCAGGGCTTAAATATTCAACATGTCTTCCTCTAAAGTATCTTTAAGTTTGTTTATTTTAAATAATTAACTATCTCTCATTATTAACAGTTATGAAAAAATGCTAAATATAACTTTTGAAAGAATTTGATAATTGAAAAATGGAAAAAAAAGGAGAAATGTTTATTAGGGTTGAAAATGAATTTCCAGAAATACTAGTCAGAAGGTATACGTATAATATATATCGTTTGAAAGCACAGAATTTTAGAACAAAAAAAAATATAATATAGAAATTTCCAGAAAGTAATGGAGAGTGACAAAAAATTATAAATAATAATTTGTGAAAACTAATATTATTTAATGGAAATCACATGTTTTCAAGGAAATGAAATGAAATTTACTGACTAACTGTAAACTTTTTTTAAGTTTGAAAAAAAAAGTATTTAAAATCCACCTAATCATGGCAATGCCATTGTTTAAATTGTACTATTTAATTGTACTTGTGTGCAAGAAGAAGTATAAAAAATATTTCATGAATGTATAAAGGCATATATTTATAACATTTAATAAATTTACTGTAGTTTAATAATTCTAGATCTGATATTATATTTAAATAATTAGATATCAACATCCGTCCATTTCGAAAAATCGTCATATAACCTTTTAGAAAATTAAATTAGTGAATAATTTTATGGATTTTTGCTTTGTGAAATCCAAACGTTATCAACTTAAAATTAGTGGCAACTTTTGACCTATTTATGGCAGGCACTGAAAATCTCATAATATCATTTTAGTAAACTTTACAATGCAAAATAACAGTTTAATAACTAATAGGCATACAATCCATAATCATTTATAGGCTGAATATACAGATAAACTTACAAATCTCTCTAGGCATATATATATATATATATATATATATATAGCTCAGAGACTGGAGTTATGTGGTTTACAAAAACAGATGGAGTACCAAGGGTTTGCCGTTGATATAATTAATATGTTTTTGTTATTTTAGTGGTCTTCATGATTTGTCAGCTGTAAGCTTTAAGCTATAGCACCATTAAAAATGCACTTCAAATATTTTATAATTGCTCAACATTGCCAGAAAATAATTTCTATTCAAAGTAGATAGGTAAGTGAAAGTTGTTTGTTTCGCCCACCAGATTTTTTACTCATACAGAGTGCCTCGAGGCGAAGTTTCTTCCTCATTCTCCCTTATCTGAGAACATGCTACTTTGGCTCAGCTGCTGACCTCTGTGGAGTATTTATTTTACAGCTTTGCCCCTGAATTTTCTGCCTTTTTGCAGTTCTCTTCGACTTGATCAGTAAAACAACAGTTTCTAATTGTTCACAGTAGAGACAAATTTCACAAGCATAGCTTTTAATTTCTCACTGAAAATTCTGCTTCTCAGAAATAAATTTAAGTAGCTTGTCCATCTTAAGGCCAAGATTCTGCATCACCAAAGTTTATAACATTGGGGTTGCTGATGACAACACAACGAAACCCTGCTTTTGGAGGAGCCAGTACTAGGGTTGTGAGCCCCTGCACTGTAAGACAGTTATTACTCCCTTTCCTCATTAGTTATATAAAAGTGTATTTTATACCTCTTTTCAGGTGTAATACAGCCTCCTCAAACTTATAGGAACCGATGCGCCTGGGTTTGGGTCCAGTTTTGGTTCATTCTGGGTATTTCATTTCTGGTACCTTATCATATCTGCTGGGAATCTCCCTATCTGTCTTTGAACTCCTTACAGCTGTTTATGTGTTTGTCTATTTCTGTGTTTATATGTACCTATTCGCTTATATAAATGGCAATAATAGCTGTAATTATTTTTAAATTGTGTATTTATTAAATTTCTATAATTTTGGATGAGACAGATTATTAAGTTTTCCAAAATTTAATTATATTTCAGATTTGTTTACTTATCTTATATGTTTTTTTAATTTTAATTTTAGACATTGGATCCAGTTTGGAATGAAGAATTCATATTTAAGGTAAACTCTATTGTCATAGGATTGTTATATAATTATTTCCTTTTTGAAAAAAAAAAAGATATATATTTTTTTAATTTTTAGGTGAAACCTTCTGAACATAAGTTAGTCTTGCAAGTATTTGATGAAAATAGGCTAACCAGAGATGATTTTCTTGGAATGGTGGAGTTATCCTTATTAAATTTACCCAAAGAAACTGAAGGACACACTGTTCCTTCCCAGCAGTATATATTGAGACCTCGTAGGTAATGAATTCATCTATATATTATTACCATACTGATGTAATATATTGTGTTTCTAAACAATTTTGTTTCGTTTTCTTATAAATATTACTTAAGAGTAAAAGTCTTTCTGTAACTGCATAGCATTTTTCTCTTGAGAAATTTATAATTGTATCGAGAGAATATTTTTCATCTGTAATACCACTTTTATATTATTTATTACCATTTGTATTTTGCTGCTTGTATTATAATTTCATCCATATATTTCTGTACTTTAAATTTTATATTATTTTTTCTAATAAAAAAAAATTTAATTCTTTGTTGCAGTGCACGATCTCGTGTCAGGGGTCATTTAGTTATTTATCATGCTTATTTAAATGACTCATCAGTTCCTGTAGGATTAGATGATAATACAGAACAAGAGCATGGTTGGGAATTGGTTGATCATTCCCCAATAAATGCCACGCAGGTTAGTGGCAGTTAGTAATAGTATCTGCTAATTTTATCTTCAAACTTTATTGTCATGTAACTATGAATTTGAAAATGTTCTTGTAATTGCTGTTATTTCCAATAGCGATATTCTCTAACAGTTTATTATTGGTGCAATGAAGTAATAATCTGCCATTTTCCTTTTCCTAATACCATGTTGATGTTGCTCTGTTGAACCATAGTTTCTATTTTAACATTTATCGTGGGTTTGTACTATGTTTTACTTATGGAAAAGTCTCTGGACTAATGATATGTCTGTCCTTAGAAATAACTTTTTTACATAATCTCCCATAATTTTTCATCCTAAAAAAAAAAAAAAAAAAAAATTGAAATGTTCTAGTTTTGACAAACATTTTATGAATAGGACAAAATAGTTTTTGGCAGTTTTGTTGAACATAATATATTGCAGCTTATAATTAATTACTTTTATCTATTAATGAAACGAAAATAGGTTTTGGATGTTGCGATACAATGTTAGATGTAATTTTTCGTCTGAATTTTTAATTTGTATGTTTTGAAGAGCGGAACGCTACTTTAAAAACATCAATTTATTATAAAAGAAAATATTAATTAAGTAAGAAAAATGACAGTATTATATTCAATTGGGTTTATAATTAATGATAACCTTTTATTTTTAGAAAATATAAATGATGTAATGAAAAAAAATTTTAAATCAGAACAAATTTAGAAAATTTACTGCAAAAATCAGTGAACAACATGATCAGATATTTAGACTTAGATATATCTGTCATGTACTCCTATACTACATGAGCATGCAAATTTCAACTTGAACAGATAGTAGTTTATGATTTTTGGGATAAGTGCGGCCATATCTATCCCTCTTAATACTTTTCTTTGTTATTCTGTACTCTTCGGCATTTTTGTGTGACAAAAACACTTTTTTATCTTTACTTATATTCAAGTTATTTTTTAAAATTAAAATGTTGATCAAGGATAACATCGCTATAATACTTACTTAATTACAAAATATTAAATAATTATTAATTGAAGAGAAGTTTGGGGTGTTCAGTCAAACATAAAAAGTAAAAATAAATAAATATATTTGTATTTTTGCCGACGTTTCGGCTCAAAGTTCAAACCTTCATCAGGGCCAAGAAAAGACCAGATAACAATTTAAACTTTTTATTTTTGACTGAAGACCTCAAGCAACTTCTTTTCAATTATTCACTGTAGTCAACCATAAATCCACTGGTATAAATAATAGATAAACTCATCAATCACTAAATTAAGATGGAATTGATTTTTATTATTAACTGTCCAAAGACTAGATTAAAAACATATTTCCACTACAATATATTGTATAGTTTGTATATTGTATTATATGTACGCATACACACAGGGTGTCTCAGTTTTTAATTGCCAAACTCTGGAGGGTGATTAAAGACATTTCCAACAAAAAAGTTCATTTGTTGCACCATTGTAAGGTAGACAACATTCTTTGAGAAAACAGTGATTACATTTACTAAGGTCAATCATGATCATGAATGACTCTACAACTTCTGCAGAGTCAAGGCCTGCCGCAATTTCAACCGCCAGTCCTCTCCAAGTAATGCTGCTGCCTTCCAGTTGTGGACACCAAGGATAGTTCGGGCATCGGCTTCTACTCTATCAGCCCATCTGATTCTCCGTCTGCCCAACCTCCTTGTGGCGAAGATCCGCTCATCTATCAACTTCCTTAGCATATGTTGTTCAGACAAACGGAGATTATGTCCTGCCCATCTCAACCTGCAAATTTTCATTAGCCTCACAACATCAGCTTCTTTATATAGCTGCATCAGCTCATTGTTGGATCGCATTCGTCGCTTCTGATTAATATTTATTATTGGGCTGAATATTTTTCTTAGGACACGACGTTCAAATCGAAGGAGAGCTGTTTCTTGGGCTCTTGACATTGTCCAGCACTCAGACCCATATATTAGTACTGGTCTGATCAGGGTTTTGTACAGGAACAGCTTGGTTTTACAAGAGATCACTCAACTTTTGAGGTGTCCCGGGAGACCAAAATAAGGTCTTTTTGCGGCCATGATGCGCCTCTGTATTTCAGGATTCATATCTTTTTATATTCACTTGCGAGCCAAGGTATATAATTCCGAGACATCTTCAAAAGTCATCCCTCCGATTTCTACATTTGCCTCTCTGTGGCATCTCTCTTTTGGTCGGCCCGCATAAACTTTTTTTTTTCTCATTGACTTTTAAGCCAATCCTTGCTGCTGCTCCTTGTAGCGCTAAGAAAGCATCTTTTATAGCTTCTCTTGTTCTTCCAACCAATGCAGTGTCATCAGCAAACCCTAGCAATTGCTCTGAATGATTAATGACCGTTCCTCCAATCTGAATTTGGGATCTTCTAATGGCACATTTGAGGGCAATGTTAAATAGGAGACACGCTAAGCAATCTCCTTGGCACAATCTCTTCTGCATTTCAAAGAAGTCCGACATATCGCCTTGGATCTTGACAGTGCATTGCACCTCCTTCATTGTCACTTGTATCAATCGTACAAGTGTAGGTGGGACATCCAGGCCCAACATATCGTGGTAGAGCTCATCTCTTAGGGTGCTATCATAAGCTCTCTCAAAGTCTACGAAAAGGTAGTGTGTGCATACATTATACTCTCTTGCCCTCTCTAGGATTGTTCTATTAGCGAATATTTGGTCGACCATAGATCTTCCTTGTATGAATCCAGCCTGATATATTCCTATTTCTCTCTCAGCGAACGGAAATAACTTCTGAAAGAGGATTTTCGAGTGAATTTTATATGCACACAATACCAGAGATATTCCACGATAGTTGTGACAATCCAAGATATCACCTTTCTTATGAATTGGGCAGATGATTGTCTTGTACCAATCATCTGGTAATACTTCTTCCGCCCATATTTCCATGATAACATAATGCATAAATCTTGTGAGTTCTTCCCCTCCATATTTGAACAGTTCTGAGGATATCCATCCCTCCCTGGGGTTTTATTGTTTTTCAGGAATCCTATCCTATCCTTCCACATCTTCCATGTTGGGAGGCTCCAGATCGCCAACCAGTAGTTCTGGCCTTTCCACTCTACAGCAGGGGATATTGTCATTTAAGAGCCTTTGAAAATAGCATTTCCATTGCTACATTATTTTGTCCTTATCAGTGATTAAGTTGCCCTCTGTGTCCTTGCAAGCACTGGTCCGGGTTTTGAAAGATCTTCGGCTCTGATTGATACGGTTGTACAATTTTCTTGATTTTATTTGGCTCCTTATGTTCTCTATCTCTTCCAGTTGTTTCCTTTCCCAGGTCCCCTTCTTCCTCTGAAAGAGTCTTTTCTTTCCTTCTTCGGGCTCGGTATTCTTCTACAGAAGTTCTTGTGTGTCTTCGTTGGACCATCTGCCGACAAGCTTTATTCTTAATATATTAACAGTGACCCTCTGACACTCCTCACTGTACCATCCTGCTTTCTGTGTAGCTTCTTGATATTCAATTGTTTCATTTGCGACTTTCACTATTGCCTCCTTGCATCTACTCCATTGTTGGTTTAAGTTTCCGGATTCACTGAGGTTTCTTATCTTGTGATTCATATGCCTAGAGAAGCTTTTTCTCTTCTCATAATCGTTGAACACCTCCACGTTAAACCTGGCTTGTTGCGTTCTTCGCTGGACTCGCACCATTGAAATTCGCGCTCTGATCTGAGCGATTGTGAGGTAGTGATCAGAGTCAATGTTTGCCCCTTGTAAATTCTGATATCCTGTAGACTTGAAATGTGTCTAGAGGACATCAATAAATGGTCTATTTCATTGCAAGTGACACCGTCATTAGACCACCAAGTTGCCAGATGAATCCTTTTATGGAGAAGCCTCGTGCTTCCCATTGCCAAATCTTTTGAGGCTGCAAAGTTTATGGCTCTCTGACCATTTTCATTTGTGACATTATGAATACCGTTTAGACCTGTTGTGGGTCTGTATTGAGGTTCTTTTCCTATTTGGGCATTGAAGTCCCCAATCACAATCCTGACATCAGCTCTCGGACAACTATCAATGCGTCTTTCAAGATCTTGGTAAAAATGATCCTTTTCATCTTCTTCTGGTGCATGGCTCTGTTGGTGCATGGATTATAGAATTTACCTCTCATTCGGAGGTAGCATATTCGGGGAGAAATAGCATTAAATCCAACGAGTTGAGCCAGCTTCTTATTGATGTTGAAAATTTTGCCTACTTTATGATGGTGTCAATCTTGGAATTTAATTATCTTGAACAACTTTAGAGCCATTCCTTCTTAGTTTATAAAATGTGACTACCTTAAGAAAAACTCTTTTTTTTTTTTTATGGCCTTTTACGCCATATGGAGGTTTCTTAGGCCAAGGATTGAGGGCGAGAGATTAATGCCAGAGTTAAAAGCCCCCATTCCCACCGATGCGCGAACTTGGGATTAATCTAATCACATTATCTTCTATCCAGGTTGCTAGGCAACATGTGGTGCTGTACACACGCATTAGCCTGCTTGGCCATCCCACCCCTCCCTTACGTAAAACATGAAATTGGTTTTGACGCCTCTTTCCATTCATAATCGACCCTTACATTGAATGAACTTTTTTGTTGGAAATTTTGTCTGGAGTCACCCTCCCCCCCCCCCCCCTCTTCTCAGAGTTTGACCATTTAGAACTGACACCCATAAGTAGAGGGAAATATTTAAAAGTTGACAGGAGACATCAAGATCTACAAAGAAGTTCATATAAACAATTGCCCAATTTCCACCAGGAAAATTGGAAATTTAAGATTTGTATTTTTTAAGCAAGTCACATTTTTTGTTGAATAGGAAGTGATAACTTAAAAGCATTTGATTTAAGTAATTGAAAATTGCTCCATAGTAAACTAGACAAAATTTACTTTAAAAGAAAGTACAGTTAATCATTGTTAAAATTATTAAAAGAGGACCATTGAGCAGACAAACAGCTAAGTTCCGTTAAAAAAAAATCATTAATTATTTGTGATTTTTTTTCTATCACCCTTCAACTGTACTACATATACCCCACTTTTACAAAAATTTATTTATTTAATAAGTTCTAAGTCTATATGAATTAAGTTGAGGTTTATGAGGAAACATTTTGAGGTTTACCTCAAGTTTTGTAAAGAAATGATATGATTTCCTATCTAGTCAGCTTAAAGTGACTGAAGTGTTTTCTGCAAAAATGACTACAAATAAAAACATAACTCGCTTTAAAAAATACAAAATTTAATTTTCCTACTTTTCTGCTGAAAATTGGGCAATTGTTTATATGAACTTTTTCATAGATCTTGATGTACACTATAAACCTTTCAAATATTTCCCTCTACTTACGGGACACCTTGTATACGTACATACATACATAATTAATTTTTAAATAGATGTATAAAAATAATTAATTTGATATATTTAAAGAAAGAAAATAAAACCATAAAATGTCAGAATTTTCCATATTATTTATTACCATCTTAACATTCATTTGTAGTATTGCTAGTCAGCAATACTCATTGTCATGATGGTATGGAGAAATTCACATGTGTCAAGATGAAATTATTATAGAAAACTAATTTATGATGAAATACAAGAGTTACATCCTTAAGCATGTATTTATTAATAAAGAACAATTAAGTTTTTGTCAGCGGCAGAGGCATTTGCAAATCACATATGCAATACCCTCACTGATCCCTTAAAACCTGTATTTCAGAAATAGATAGATAGAAAAGGTATGACCTACAAGGATGGACTAAAATGTTTCTCATTATTAAAAAAAAATTAGTAAATTTTTATAAATGTTTATTCTTCACAGTATATATAGTAATGAATGTCTGTTCTTTTTATTTTGTAGTGCTTTTTTTCAGAAAATTAAATAGTGAAATTATTACTTGTTATAATTTCATCTTAACACTTTCCTCGACTTAATAATTAACTTGTTTCTTAATCATTATGCTTTTATTAATTTTGATATTTTTATTAGTTTTTTAGTTGTTAAGCTAAACTTATTAAAAAGGTATATTTGAATTTTTTTTTTGTTTTATTTAGAATGAAGGATTTCTTCCTCCAGGTTGGGAGGCTAGACAAGATGCCAATGGTAGAACTTACTATGTTAACCATTTGGCAAGATCAACACAATGGGATCGACCTTCTATTAAGTTAGTTTTTACTGTTTTTTTTTTTTTTATTATTTATTCTTACAAATTGTTATCTTTCTACATTCAGTGAAAAGAAATGATGTATGGCTTAAATTTTGGTTTTATTATGTATTGAATAGATTTTGTCGTAATAAGATGATATTATTAAGAGTTTAATCATTATTAATGGAGATGAATTTATTTGTCAATTTTTGTAACGTTTTAAGATTCCTTTTTAAAAAAATGAAAAAAAATATACATTGTTCTAATTTTTATTAAAATGAATTGAATAAACTAAAAAATATTGAATTAAAATTTTTATATATTATTTTTAATTTAATGGGCGCTGAGGGCTTAGGTGGCTTATGGGCTGTGAATGCTAAGGATCAAATAAACAATATTGATACATCTTATATTCTATTTAACAATTAACACAATTTAAATTTATATTATCTATTAGTATAGAATAATGAATAATGTACTGCTTAATGTAAAAGACTTATTAAGAATGTCTTTATGGTAGTTCCATAAAGAGTGGCCAGTCAGCCTAATGGATAAAAAGGATCACACTGAGGAACAAAGGGACACAGTTGTGACTAGGTGTGTTGGGGGAAGTTGAGCGTAGCTGAGCATCCAAAACCGAACCTCAGTCGAGCCAAAGCTGAGCTGAGCTGACCCTTGTTATGCTGCTCAACTATGCTCAGCTCATCTGGTGGCTGGCCTGTCATTAAAAACCTTTGATTCGGTTTTGGAAGCTAGAATAGAGATAAAATTCAGTGCCTTGGGTTAAAAACCAATTTTTAATATATATATTGTTTATTTTTTTACATTTTTCTCATGAACTTGTATATTTTCTTACGTGTACTTATGAACTTACATATATTTTTTATCCATTTCTGTTCTACAAGATTACTATGCTCTTAAAATGGCTTAATTTGTTTGTTTTATTACTATTTTTGTCATAAATGTTTAATTCTTTCCGAGATAGAATGTATAAATCTTTATTTGTTTATATTTTACTTTATGTTAGTTATTCTTACTTGGTGCTCATTTACTAGAGGAATTAATTTTTTATTTATTGCTTTTGTTCCTATCTGTTTTATTTCTTTTTATTATTTTTTTACCTAAACACAATAATAATGAAATAAAATAATCACTTTTTTAAGTGATTATTTTGTTTCATTTCTCATTTGTATTTTATATAGTTCTAAGCATTTTGTATATAGTTTCATCAGTTTTTTTTTGTATATTTTGTTTGTTTACATAAGATATTTTATTTGGTACTTCTTGTCTAGGGGGCCGGACTGAAACCTCACTTCTTATCTATCTTATCTAACGTCACGTCACATAACCTCCCTCTTCTTATCCCGCCAAACCTTTGAGTTATTGCATTGTTTAGTTTTCAGTTATTCCCTTATTACGTTCACTTATTAAATTCTTTACTTTTGGCCCGTTTGTGTTTATTTTTCATTATTTTTAATTTTTGGTCCGTTTGTGTTTATTTTACATTTTTTTTTAGTTTTTGGCCCCTTAGTGTTTATTTTTCATTTTTTTTTTTTCGTTTATTTTCGTCATATTATGGATCTTCTTAGAATATGGGATTTGCCACCTACAGAAGAACAGGCAATTCAATATTTTCAAAATGTTGGGGCACTTGCCGACGTGAAATTGTTTGAACAAGGTCATTGAATGAAGTTAACCAGGAAGGCCAAATGGAGATGCTTTCGTAGGACTTATGACACAAAACATTCAATAAGGAAAGGAACATGGTTGGAGGGCTCGAGGATTTCGTTTTTAACAGCTTTGGAAATGATTTATGGGTGGTCCCATATCTTGACAACGATGAAGTGCTGCAAAGAGCAGCTGAAACTATCCTACGGAGCAATGGTAATGTGGAATAAATGTCTAAGAGAGGTTTGTGCCCATGACATGTTATACAGGCCAAGAAAAAAAATTGGAGGACCTGGCAAAGTGGTTGAAGTAGACGAAAGTCTTTTTTCTAAACGAAAAATCATGTGGGGAGAGTTTTACCTCAGCAGTGGATGTTTGGTGGAGTTTGCCGAGAAACAGATGAATGTTTTATCTTTTTATAAAACAGATTTTATGTTTTATATTTTTTCTTTTCTATGTAAATATGTTCTTTTAAATGTTTTTTTTTTTTTATTTCATTTTGATGTTTTATATGTACATATCTTCTTAAAGTGTTTTTTTATTATTTCATTAATATATTTGTCGTCAAATAAAAGTATTTTTGTTGTTATTACATTTGTTTTTGTATCTGTTTACACTTTCAATAATACAAATTTAATACAATAATACGAAGATATGAAGTAGGAGAAGACTTATCACTGCGTTATGGGAGTTATCAGTGTTCAGGTTATAAACATTGGCAGATAGCAGTCAGTAGTGGCCCCCTAGACAAGAAGTACCTTTTATTTATTTAATGTAACTCTTCTTATTTAATGTAGTTCTCTTGGCCGGAAGTATTCTTTTGTTCTGTAACATTTTGTTATTCCTAAGAGACTTAACACCAGAATAAAGATATTTCTCTATTCTATTCTAATTTCGTACAAACTTAATTGCTAATTTTTCATGTCAGAATGATAGTGGTGGCAACTTTGATTCAGTGCAGACATAGTGGACTAGTTTTGAAGGCTTCCATTGCAATCCTTATTCTATATGGTGCACTTAATTGAGTTGTGTGAGGATATTTTTTTCTGACCGACGCATAAATAAAAATTTCTTAGTCCATCTTGGAGAAAATTAGAATTTGATATATCCTGATCATAGCAGCAAGATCTTCCTTCAACTGATTGCGTTAAGTACTTTCAATTGCTTAAGCTTACCTAGCCATATTTTTTTAACAATTCAAGTGATATTTGCAGGCTAGTTTGTCAAATGTTAATCCTAAGAATTTACAGCTATTGATATAGGGTGTAGGGTGTAGGATTGAGGAGTAGTAGAAAATCAGGTGGTCACGGGCTGGTTCTGCTAATTTTGACACATTTTATTTTTTAGTCGAGAACTGTATTTTAATTGTTTATTACTAATTGAACATAATATAAGTAAGTTGTTTATTATTATTGACTTAGTGCCTCATGTAGTTAAACCGTCATGGACAAGATGTTACTCGATTGATAAAGTATTTCTAGTCATTTAATAATAGCATAGCATTTACTGCTTAATTTAAGTTTTTCCAAAGTAGCTTATATAGCTAGTGCGTACATTGTTGTGCTGAGTACACTGCATGTGATCAGTTCAAACCTTTCTGGTGCATGCTTACAAAAATAGAATGATAGGGGTTATTGCCATGAGAAATGTCTGTAAAAAACGAAAAGCACAAAATATTGAATTTTTACAGATGAGATTTCTGAACTTGCCCAGTCTAGGTATATTCTCCACAGAAATTTTATTTATTGTTTGAGAAATTTTTGAGCTTTTAAATCCTGAATTATTTTTAAAAATTACTTTTTCAAATTTGGTTTATTAAAAAAGAAAGCTCTCAACATGATAATGTTAATTGACATCATATATTATATAACTATTTAAAATCAACTAATTTTTCTTTTTCTTTTTATAGTACAGAAAACTCCTCATCTTATCAAAACTTGGAAACTGCTGTGACTGAATTTCAAAGGAGATTTCATATAAGTGTTGATGAAGTTGATACTGGGCGTAGAAGATCCAGCGTCTTGTCTAATTCTGTACATAAAATATGTTACTCTTTTGAATTTGTAACATTTCATTATATCATTTACTAACCACTGTTTATTTTTAGGGTTCTGAAGAGCAATCTAATATTTCTGGATCCGAAGGCCTCCCCGAAGGATGGGGTTTACAAATAGCTCCTAATGGGAGAGTATTCTTCATTGATCATAATGCTAAAGCAACAACCTGGGTGGATCCACGGACTGGTAATAGAATTCTTCTTTAAATATTGTCTATGTTTTCATGGTTATGTTAACATTATGCTTTCTTTAATAATTTGAATATCTTCTCAACATGACTTTATTTTTTCAAAAGTACAAATCCAAACTGTTTATATAAAGTAACGACCTTAACAAACATAAATGAAAGCATTATAAAAATTACATTATAACAAAATTAATTTAAGTATTTCTTTCCTTGGAAAAAAACAAAACAAATTACGTTGCAACTGACAAGAGAGGTTATGGGTGTGGGGTCACCAATTACAACAAAACTTTGGTGGCACTAGGTCGAATAATGTTAGATCCATGTCTGACAGTTGGCTATGCACCCTGGGAGCCAAGAAAAATAAATAAAATTTCAACATTGTTTATATTATTGCTTTTTTCTTGGCTGTATATGGATTACACTGTAATATATTATTATTATTAATATTATATATATATATATATATATTATATATATATATCATCATCATCATAATCTTTCCAGGAAAGCTAAAATTAGACATTATGAAACATTCATAAAATCGGTGATACTCTATGGATCGGAGACTAAGGGATTTACCAATATAGAATCACTACTGAAAACAGAAAGAAAGATTCTGAGAATAATATATGGACCCAGAAAGGTGGGGGAAGAATACAGATTAAAAAAGAACGATGAGCTTTATGAACAGATTGAAAACTTGGAATCATCAATGAGAAAAAGGAGATTAATGTTCTTCGGGCATATGAAGAGAATCGATCTGAATAAGCTGAAGAAACAAATATCGATAAAGTAATGGGACTGAAAAACATAAAAGGTTATCCAGAGCAAATAAAAGAAGAAGTGAAAAAAATAGGTATCAAAGAGGAAGACTTCCAAGATAGGGATAAATTTGGGAAAATAGTGAAGAATATGAAGGTTCTTGTAGCAGATAAGAGGAAGCAAGAGAGTAAGAAATAGACAGAGGAGAGAATGAGGGAGATGGGACAAAAAATGAAAGGAATATGGGCAGAAAGGAAAAAGGAAAAGACCTAGGAGTAATATACGCGTGGCCCATCGTTGGCCTGTATCGCGATGAATAAATAAATAATATATATTATATTCTTTGCCTATATGATAAATACAAAGAATATCTGGTTTATATATATATATATATAAAAAATAAAACAGTTTAAGTGTTTATGGAATTAATAGCTATTTTTTTCTTTTAGGTAGGGCTAGTGCAATGCCTCAACAAACTGGTAATGTTACTCATATACATAATTCTATTGGATTAGATGGTGATCTTGGCCCACTTCCTGAAGGTTGGGAAGAGAGAGTGCACACAGATGGAAGGATTTTTTTTATAGACCACAGTAAGTGTTCTAGTTTCACATCACCTTTATTGGATAACATAAAATAATTTAGTATTGTTAGATAAATATAAAAAAATTAAATACCAAACATGATGGTACTTAATGAAATACAGTTTAACCTCTATTAAATATGAAGGCTCCTTAAAAAAAAAAATAACATTAAAATTTTGATTTATAGAAAGATTCTATAATCTTTCTCTAGTCAAAAATCTTCAACTCTGTCATGCTGAAAAGAATTGCAATTTTTTTTAGGATCAAATTAAATAAAAATAATGGTATTGCATTTAACTTAATGTTTATTTTTTTCTTGGTTATGGTTAATGTAGTGCAGTTGAAGTCAGCAATAGTTTAATGTTAAGAATTATTGTTTTAATTTTTCTTCATTATTGAAACTAATAAATTTTGTTTATGTAAAAAGTAGTTCGGCTCTGATCACAATCAACATCCTGGGTTTTCCTCTATTGAAGGTTACCCACTTTATAGAAACACCCATTTTTTAAATTTTGTAGTTACTTAAAATTTTGTGTGACTCTTATTTATAATTCTCTCTCTTCACATCTATTCATAATTAATATTATTAGCTTATTTTATAATTTCTATGCAGTAAGTTTTTAAGTATAGTGAAACCTGTTTACAATGGACAGCCTTGGGTTCAATGGATTTGTCATGAGAATGGGTATACAAATGCTTATTAAAAAATTAAAAAGTAAATGTGTATAAACTTTATAAAACAAGTTTATAAATTTGAATGAATTGAGTTTATTAATACAATTTTGAATTCTATTTATACTTAGTGTTTTTAGAATTCAATATGTATCCTATAGTATACTTCCAGGCCAGGAAATTAAAAAAAGTATGTTAGCAGTGTCTTTCGAAAGAAGATTTCTTTTAGAGGTTTAACTGTATCTTTTGAGATGATACTTTAATGAATAATTAAAAAAAAATATTTTTACATGGTAATATTTTGAGGTCATGCTGGCCTAGCATATTCAAGTGTTGCCCACTTTATCATATTCTAATATAGTGGGACTAGTTCTAATCTGGCCTGGGTAGGTCAAAATTATTTTGTGATGGACCCATGACATGAATCTTGACCTTCCCATTCTGGTTCCAATAGGTGGTCTGATTATATATTTAGACCCCCCCTCACCATGCCAGAAATAGCCAGGCAGGTGGTAAAGTGGAGAATAAAAGGTTTATTACTACTAAATCTTCATAGTATAGCCTTATGAACCAATTGAGTTGGAGTTGAGATACTTATAGACTACCAGGCATAATAATGATGACTCCACCTGTCCACACAAAAATTAGCAGGGATATACTACACAAAATAACACAAACCATACCCTTGTAAATATTATTTATTATTTTTCTTTACTTTGTTTAAAATTAATTTAATTTATTTTTTTACATTTAAGGTCATTCAATATATGTTGTTCTTTGTTTTGTGTATATATATATATATATATATATATATATATATATATATAATAAATTATGTTTTAAATCTAATTTTAGATACTAGAACTACACAGTGGGAAGATCCAAGGCTTGCAAATCCACAAATAGCTGGCCAGGTAATTTTAGATTTCATACATTTATCTATTTAGTTATAATTAAACTTCTTAGTAGTGGACATCTATGAGGAATAAAATTTAGAGCAACTGGAAATAAAATATGATAAAAAAAAATAAATAAAAAATAAAAATGGTCACCACATGAATGAAATTGTTTATTTATATAAAAATATTTTATTTTAAAATTTACAACTTTTTAAAATTTATTATTCATGATATTTATAACTGTATTATAAGATAAATAAATCTAGTAAATGTGAACAACTGAATATGATGACATAAAAACACTTGTTAAGAAACCACCCACTGGTAGCACCATGTTATACATAGTATATCTATGTTGGGATATCATGGGTCCATCTTCTTTTCAGAGGCCTCGTAGGTTTATGAGGAGTCGAAGAAGAAACAAGGTTAGAAACAAAAGGATTAAGATGGTTCTGAAGTTTATTATGGTAGAATAGGTATCTGTATTGGGCCAACTTGGAAACATAAGGGCCATTAAGGTTGTTAGGAATGATTTTATTTGTGACAAAATAAGGAGCATTGATGATTTTAGGAAGGATTTGCATTGCAAGGATTGGATATCACGGGAATTCAATGGCTTACTGGAGCCCCAAAACTACTTAAGTCCAAATAGGCCTTAATAATAATAATAATTATAATTATAATTATATGATTATAATATTTATTATTTTATATTATTATAATAATAATATTTATTATTTTATATTATCATTATTATATAAGGCTGGGAATGAAGCTGCACCTGGCGGGAACCTTTGACAGCTTCCTTCAGGCAATGGCGGAGCAATTAGTTTGAGTTTGGGCTTGGGTGAGACTATTTCTCCCTCCGCACCAATCCGACAACAAAGACTAATAGGTGCTCGAAGGATGAAATGAAATAGGCTGTCATCCAGGCATATCTTTTAGCAACAAAATTAGAAGCAATCGTGGTCAGATCAAGAAAATTCCTATCAGACTTGGAAAAGGAAAATATAAAAGTAATTTTATCTGAACGACTAGAAATGGTAACTGTTGAAAATGAAGAACGACCAACTGAACCACATCTAGAAAGATCATTGACAATTGAGGTAGCTCCTCCTCAAGATATAGACAAACTTACAGAGTCATTATTATCCCAACATGTGATTTTCGAGGGGATACCACTTAAGACCAATCCTCTCAAGGATTCCTTGTAGCATTAAATCTTTAAGCTTTAAGTAAACTTATTATTAACTACCCCGAAATGGACATTGAAGCTGTTTGTCATTGGGCTTGTGTTGCAGACAGGGTTGTTATTATTGAACCAGGCTTAGGAGAGGATAAACCAAAGAAAGTTAATGGCATTATGAACCTCCCCTGGCAGAGAGGATTGGAAAATAAAATTGCTTCTCTAAGGGTAAACATGGGAGTAATTACAAGTTATATCAGGAATCTGGCTGGAGCTAGTACAAAAGTAAGGAGAAAAATTGATGAAATAGTTGTACTGCAAATAAGAAATGTTAGAATGTTAAAATCTGAGCTTACTGAAAACTTACTTTACATGCTGATATGCTAAAACAGAAACTTGCCACTTTATGCAAACAGAATGTGGCACTATAAAAAATCTATCTTATTAGTACGTTCCATAAACTGCAGAATAAAAGATTCACAAACAGTGAAAAGCAGTTCTATCGGAACTTGGATGAAAATCAAAATGGAGGTGCAAGTTTTTCATTAACCGACAATATTATCGATTATTGAAAAAAGCTTTGGGAGGACAATTTAGATCATAATGACAAAGTATAATGGTTAAAATCAATAAACAGGGAATTTCAAGAAACACCTCAAATGCCTGAATGGAAAATATAGTCATCGCAACAAAGAAACTGAAAAATTGGAAAGCACCAGGCAGTGATAGAATTGAAAATATTGGTTGAAAAATCTAACCTGTTTAAACCAAATACTTACGATTAACTTTCAAAAAATTATAACAGGGCAGATTGATGCTCCTTTTTATTTTTACCTTACATGATAAATCAAATGAAAATAAGCTACGTCTTGCATAGTTTGCAGCATTGAGGCAATATATAATAAAGTGCATGGACTTCCGACATAAGAACATCCATTTAGGCACCTGGAAAGTGATAGTGGGTGGAACTACCAATCAAATCGACCACACACTTTCCTCTGCTAAGTGCCTCCAGTATAATTGATATCAAAGCTTGTAGAGGAGCGAATTGTGATTCAGATCACTTATTAGTAAGAACCATCTTCAAACATAGATTGAGTAAAGTGCATAAAGTTAGCTAAGAATGAGAATGAAATGAAATCTGGAAAACCTCGGGAATGAACAAGTGAAAGAAAGTTTTCAAGAGGCACTAAGGACTAAATTACAAGGAGAGCAAAGGCACAACATAGAAAAGGAGTGGAATAGTTTGAGGGATGCAATATTGATAACTGCCCAGGAAGTGTTAGATGAAAGAACTCTAAGAAGGAATGCTGTGTGGTTTGCGAAAGAGCCATTGATGAAAATAATAAAGATTGGAAGAGAATGCTGCAGAAAGACACAAGAGGTAATAGGGAAAAATTTCTAGAACGCATAAGAAGAGAGAGTGGATCAGGAAGAAAGTTGAAGTTATGGAAGAACTGAAGGATAGCAAAGAAGAAATAAAATTTTACCAGGCATTCTTAGCTTCTCTGATCTGATCTGTGTTAGCTTCTCTAAGAAATAACCGTGCCCCTGAAGAAGATAATATTTCCTATGAGATCCTTAAAATCGGTGGAGATCTACTGCATCAAACCATGTATGATTTAATTTATAGCATCTGGACAAATGAAAAAATGCTGACCAGTTTGTGCTCTAGATTGATCTTGCCTATCTTTTGAAAAAGGGATAAATCCCAATGCCAAAACTTTAGAGGAATTACGCTCCTTAATGCAGCATACAAAATTCTGTCAAAGCTGATAATGAAGCTTAAGATCTACACTGACAGGATCCTTGCAGATTACCAGTGTGGTTTCTGTTCTAACAGAGGAGCTACAGACCAGATCTTCCTAGTGAAACATATATTAGAAAAATGTTACGAGCACAATACTGATGTTCATTTGCTTTGTTGTGGACTATAAACATGCTTTTGATAGAGTTAGCAGAATTCAGCTTATCAAGCTCTCGAAGGTTTTGGCATTCCTTACAAGTTAATCAATTTGATTAAAATGACAATGGTTCAATCGCAAGTGAGTGTCCTAATTGAAAATCAAACCAGTCTCAGAATCATGTACAATAATTGAATGAGACAGGGAGATGCCGTATCAGCCATTCTATTCAACTTAATCCTCCATAAAGCTGTAGAAAAGATTGTTGCAAGTGGTAACCTTGCAAGGCGTACTACACAGATTTTGGTTATGCGGATGATATTGCGATATTGGGAAGAAACAAAAGCACTTTAAGAGAATTGCTAGTTCAACTCAATAATGAAAGCAGGAAAGTTGGACTGGTGATTAATAAAGCCAAAACTCAAAAGTATATGGTATTATCTGCTTCCACAACCAAAAAGAAAGCCACGAGATTCAGTCGTGGTTTTCTATCGCTTGAAGTTGATTAATTCACCTACCTTGGAGTGGAATTAAACTGTGAGAACAAAGGAAGTGATGAAATCAAAGCTAGAATCATGGCTGAAAACAGAGCCTACTATGGCCTTCAAAAACTGATAAAATCAAGGCTTCTGACCAAGCAAAACAAATAAAAAATATATAAGTCTCTGATAAGACCGGTAGTGTGCTATGGAGCAGAAACTTTGATGCTGAAAGTCTCTGCCCAATTAGCCCTAAGGGTCTTTAAGAGAAAAATGTTAAGACATATTTTCATCTCCGCATACTCAGAGGGCACCTGGCGAATCAGAAAGAAAGGGAGCTTGTGTCCTCTGTGATCCAATAATTTGATTCCAATGGAGCAATTTAGTTGTAGCAAAGGTGCCCGATGCTGTAGTAAAGAGCTGTTGCTCATAGACTAGTTCGTTGCAGGCCAAACGACTGTGAATAAAAGAACTCTGTCCCTCACAGTGGGCTGTTAAAAGTCTTGGATTTGTATAAAGTACATCCATGTTGAATAGAACTCCTGAAGAAATTGATGAACAACTGGAAAACAAGATTAAGGATATGACATAAGCAATCATCAGAACCATTTGAATATATTAACTGCTTCAGAGGTATGTACCAGAAAGACTGCCTCAGCCCTCTCTGGTTTTTCCTTGCATTGGCTCCATTATCAATTTTATTAAATCGAGAGGGGAACAGTTACAAAATAAAACTTAATGAAATGAATTCAGTGATCAGCCATAGGTGTTATATGGATTATTTGATGCTTTATGCAAAGAAAAAATTATAGTTGAATGCTATGATAAATATAATGACCCAATACACATGTCACTTGATATTGAAAAATGTGCAATTCTGTATGTTATAAAAGGGAAAGCAAGCAACTCTGAAATATGTTCAATGAAGAACTAAATTTAATTTAATTTAGAAATATTAAAGAGCTTAAAAAGGAAGATGTATACAAATATCTTGGGATAGACAGCACGTTAAAATAGCGAAAAAGGCTGTAAAAAACAGATCAATAAAGTCATTGAAAAAAAGATTGAAAATTATCCTGACAACATATCTCTCTTCAGGACCAAAAATTAAAACTATAAATATGTAGGTTATACCAGCCATATCTTACATCTTCAGAATTCTAAAATGGTCGACAACTTCACTCCAAAAATAGGATAGATTAATAAGAACAAGCATGATTGGGTCCAGAATGCATCACCCGACTACATCTATGGCAAGGCTTTGTCTGCCAAGAAAGGAAGGTGGGAGAGATCTTACAAATATTGAAGAGGCATGTTGAAAACAAGAAATGGCAAAATAATAAAATAATGTGCAATCTTGATGGATACACAGCATTACAGTTGCACAGTTGCAGTTTACATAGCAAGTCGAAAGCATTTCACAGAAGATTTTTTGACCAGCTCCAGCAAACAGAAATAGATAGAAAATTATCTACTAGTTGGCTGGTTAAAGGAAATCTATTTCCTGAGACAGGGCTTTTTGACAGCAAACCAGGGTCAGGTTATAGTAACGAGGTCTTACTTAAGACACGTTCTGAAGCAGTAGGCAGATCCCTTTTTTGTTTTGTTTTAAAATGTGACACCCGTATTTTTTTTGCATAAACTTGAATCAAGTGGCTAAATAGCGAATACTATGTTTTTCTCATACACTCATTAATAACGTCAATTTTTTCTTTAAAAGTTAGCCGGAATTGAGTTGACATATTGACAATCAAATTTGTAAAACTAAACTGTGCTCTATTTCAAAATCGAGCTCCCGATATACATAATTAAACTAATCTGTTGTAAATTGGATAAATATTCTCAAAATATGAGCCTCATTGGCATCAAGCATATCCAGGTCCGTTACGAAGAAGTCTATAAATTATTGAAAACCGAGGGGGATCATAAATGTCTCCACTATACAGAAAAGTTTGTTTTATGGAATGTTCGCCATGGGAAGTTTCACTCTCCATAGTTATAAATAAATTAAATTCTAGATTTTTATAACCATATGATTTTCAAAACCAGAAATACCAATATTTACATAAGGTACTCTTATTAATTGATTTAGGTTATATTTATATTTCATCATTTTGGATATTGAAGTACTTCAGATTAATACATTGAAATTCTATTATTCTTTTATTAACTATGGTTTAAGTATTTTTAAATATATTGAGACTCCTATGATTCTGCATTATTCATTCACTTCTTAAGGACTTAGATAATTGTAATGACAACACTTTAATTGCCTTATTTTTATTTCAATGTTCCCTTTGTCATTTCTTTAAAAATTAAATATTTAGTCATGCATTATTGTGACACTAGGAATACTTCTCCTGAACTATCTTAGTTAACTTTGTCCTTTTAAAAAGCTACCCCTAAAGCAGAATATTTTTCTATAAGGATTGAAATTAAGTCTTCTCCTTTTGATCCTGACTGCTATTTCATTTTTGTTAATGCTGTCATTTCATTTGTATGCAATATGAGTAACTTAGGACTATAAATTTACAATGTGGTAGAATTAAGACTTTTTGAAATCTATGTGCCTGACCAACACATTGTTTTTGCTTTCATTATCATTATGTTTTTCTGCGATCTGAAGTACTTAAGGCTTTACATTTTGGCTGTTTAATCCTTTATTTTATTTTTTTAAATAGGTTATATATAATATTTATAGTATAAATAGGATGTTTGGTGAATGTAAGACATTTGGTGATTTTTTTTTGTTGTGTATACATTACAGTGATGTGGTTGGTTTATCAAATATGCACATTTTTAATTAATTCTCCTTATACTCTTCTTTATTGATTTCCTGTGTATTCTGGTTGAAATAATAATGTGACTATAAAACCAATTAAGTTATTGAAAAAAGGAGATTTATCCAGCATGTTTAGTTTTTCTGCAATCTTCCCAAAATTTATATTTTCTGTAACCTTTCAATGTTTACATAACCCTTTTAATGTGTAAGGTTAAGTCTCTCAAAGTGTAAGAAAAATTGCAGTTTGAGAAAAAGAAAAAAAAAGTGATTGTTGGGTGTTGGGCACACTCAACATTTACAAAGTCTTGAATTTCTCAAACCCAGAAAACTGCTAACTGGTAGTCAGGTACATTCAACCTCTTCTTCTTTACCGCATTAGGACCGCATTATGGTGAAATATATATGTGTGTATATATATATATACATACATACCCTACCAGACAAAATTAAAGCATCACTTCAATATTTTAATTTTAATGATTTTTAATGGAAATTTTTAAAAGAATTCTTCTTGAATATGATGGAACAGTTTGCTAAAAATGTATTAATTTTTTTAGAAATTTAGTTAAAAAATAAAAATGCAGATTATTGAATAAAATCAGTAGGAAATGTTTCCCCTGCTAGACCTGATCACTGCCAGCATTCTCCTTTTCATTCCACCAACCAAATCTTCTTCTGAAATCTTGTCCCACTCTCTCACTAAAATGCTTCTTAAATTGGTCAAATTTTGAGAGTCACGATTACGGACACTTCTCCCAAACATGTTCCGTATTTGCTCTTTTTGGTTCATGTACGTATCCCTGGGTGGCTAAGCCATAACCTCGTTTTCTTCTTGTTAGAGTTAATTTTGCACCAACCGAGCTACATTAGGTCTGGCATTGTCATGCATTAAAGTGAATCAACTCCCTATATTTCTAGCAAAAGTTATCACATGTGGTTCTATGATCTCCCTTTTGTACCTCAAAGTGGTTATATAGCATCGGTCCACAAGAATAAACTCCGTATTGGTGATTTAAATTTATGCCTCCCCAAACCATCGCTGAGGCTGCTCCAAAAGCAACCCTTGGAGAAACATTACAAGGAATATTCCTCTCTCCCTATCTCTCTACACTCTTTTGCATCCATCTGGAGACCTTAGGCTGAATATGGACTCATCTGTGAATAATACATGGCTCCAGTGTGTGAAGGTGTTCCTGGGCAAACCTCAAGCACTGAACTCAGCACTTCCTGGAAGGCAGAGGTCCAGTTGCTGGAAAATGGGACATTAATCGTTAGGTCGTCTTCTCACTGTTCGCTCTAAAATGCGTATGCTCCTGAACTGCTGTATGCGACAAAGCAGGTTGTTTCTTGTAGAGTAGTGGTCTCGAAAAGCATGAATTTTTAAAAAATTATTTTCATGATGGGAATTTGACGTTGGACGACCTTTTTCTGGTATGTCCTATCATGATACCTAATAATTACTCTGGAAATCACCAATTGTGACTTCTGGAGCCTCTCTGCGATGTACTTTTGTGAAAAACCTTCTTCCGTTGAAGTAGGAACATGGATCCTCTTCCTCTTCGGTTAATTCCCTTCTGTTTGCCATCAAAATGTCCTTAATTACCTTACAACCAAAAACTATTGCCTACAAAATGGTTTAAGGACGTTAAAATGCGTGTAGATATTCAAAAATAATGTAGAACTTTGAGCAAGAGTCTGCAAAATGTGCTTAAGTTATCTTTTTAATCCCGAGGAGTAATTAATGTTCACAGTTTGGGGATGCAATTGATAAGGGATTACACTAATTTGATTCTGGTACCAGAGAAATATTTATTGTTTTCATTATAAAAAAAATATACCAAAATTTGTAGGTGACACACAGCATATATATATATATATATACACACATACATATAGACATATACACATATAGATAAATATATATACTTTTTTTTCCAGGCTGTGCCATATTCCCGAGATTACAAGAGAAAGTATGAATACTTAAAAACACAGTTAAGAAAGCCAGTGAGTTTATTCTTAATAAATATATTTTGATGATATGCTTAACTTTGTTTCTAATTCATTAATTTTTTTTTCAGACTAACGTTCCAAACAAATTCGAGATAAAAGTTAGAAGGCATGCCATACTGGAGGATTCATATAGAATTATTACTAACACTGCCTCTCGACCTGACTTACTAAAAACAAAATTATGGGTAGAATTTGAAGGAGAAGTTGGTTTGGACTATGGAGGTTTAGCACGTGAATGGTTTTTTTTATTGTCAAAGGAGATGTTCAACCCATACTATGGCCTGTTCGAATACTCAGCTATGTAAGTATATTAACAATGGTAGTTAAAATATTTTAAAAAAAGAAATTAATTTTTTTTCACAGACTTAACTAAAAGTATAGAGTGTGTGAATAAGTCCTTGCTTTTTTTTTAATAAAATCTTGTAATTTTTTTTTAATCAGCCTCCTACTGGATTAAAGATCCCCTGGTTTTAGAAAAAAAAAAAACTACCTCATTTAATTAGTGTTAAGGCCTAAAAAATGCCTAGTTCAAATCTGTAAGTTCTAATGTCCAGATTACACACAACTTCCACTTACCGCTCAACTTTGAATAGAAATTATTTTCTGGCCATGTTGAGCTATTATAAAATTTTCAAATTGCATTTTTAACTGAGCTAAAGCTAAAAAATTACAGCTAACAAATCATAAACACCATTGAAATAACAAAAGTTTTATTTATTATATCAGCGGTTGATTATGGATTGTACGATCTGTTGATTATGGATTTTATGATCTGTTGATTATGGATTGCACGATCCATTCATTATGGATTGTACGACTATTAGTTATTAAACTGTTATTTTCCATTGCAATGTTTACTAAAACGGAATTAAGAGATTTGCATTGTCTGTCATAGACAGGTCAAAAATTGTCACACTAATTGTAAGTGGATACTGTTGGAATATCACAAAAGGAAATTTCATCAAACTATTCACTAATTTAATTTTCTATAAGGTTACATGATGATTTTTCGGAATAAACGGACGATTGATACCTAAATATTTAAATATAATATCAGATCTTAGTTATTAAACTACAGTAAATATATTTAAGGTTATAAACGTATCTATGAAATATTTATATATTTCACTTCTTCTTTCACACAAGTACAAAGAAATACTAGTGGGTACTGTTGGAATATCACAAAGGCAAGATTCATCAAATTATTCACTAATTTAATTTTCTAAAAAGTTACAAGGCAATATATCGGAATAAACGGACATTGATACCTAATTATTTAAATATAATATCAGATCTAGAATTATTAAACAACAGTAAATGTATTTAAGGTTATAAAAATATGCTTTATACATCCATGAAATGATTTTATATTTTACTTCTTCTTTCGCACAAGTACAATGAAATAGTTTTTTAAACAATGTCATTGCCTTGATTAAATGGATTTTAAATATTTTTTTCAAACTTAAGAATATTTTATAAGGTTATATTTATTTAGTAAATTTCATTTAGTTTCTTTGAAAACATGTGATTTACGTTATATATTATTAGTTTTCAAAAATATTATTTATAATTTTTTTTGCCACTCTCTGTTATCTTCTACAATCTTTTATATTAGATATAATTTTTTCTAAAAATCTCCGCTTTCCAAAGATATATTATACTGACTAGTATTTTCTGAGATTCATTTTTGACCTGGATAATGGTTTTATTTTTTTCTCCTTATCAAATTCTTTCAATAGTTATATTTAGCATTTTTTCGTAACTCTTAATAATGAGAGATAGTTAGTTATTTAAAATAAACCATATTAAAGGTACTTTAGAGGAAGACATATGAACATTGGGCATTTAAGCACTGTAAAGTGACATCAACGGGGATAAGACCTAAATGATATTAAAGACCACTTAACTATACAATGATACACCGAGTTTAATCAAAATCGTTAGAGCTGTTTTTGAGAAAATTGTAAAAATGTGTTTCAGCATTGATATAAATTATGACTTCCGGTTAGCCGATTTTAAGGAAAAAGTTGCTAGGGCATCATAAATTATGACTTCCGGTTAGCCGATTTTAAGGAAAAAGTTGCTAGGGCATCTAAGGCATATGCATTATCTTAAATACGTAATATCAGTTTCGTATGATTTTTCATTTTCGAGCTGGAGTGTTCACAGACACACAGACCTTTTTTCAGGACTTGGTTATTTGGACTCAGGTTACCCCAAAATGTTTATTTCCATTGAAAACGCAGATTCAAAAATTTTCACTCACAATACTTACCCTTACTATATATTTCATATATATGTAAGTGAAAGTAAAAATATTAACATCATCTACAAAAGCCAGAATCTTCTTTTGATTTAAATATACCAGTTTTTCTAGCTAATTACTTTGAAATCGATAACTAACTGGGCCATTCTTAATCCAAGTACGAAGCCAATTCCAAAGATTAATGTAATATTCAGACAACCGATGTTCTGACTATTGATATTGCACTGTATTTTTATATTTGTGGACATCCAATTAATTGTTTTTTAAATTTACTTTGTAAATGATTAATTTGTTATTGGTTCTAGGGATAATTATACTCTGCAAATAAACCCCATATCAGGACTATGTAATGAAGAACACTTGAATTATTTTAAATTCATTGGACGCATTGCTGGACTTGCGGTTTATCATGGAAAACTGTTAGATGGTAGGTATATTAACATATATATCATCATTGATAAAATTATTATTTATAATAATAATAAATTTTTATTGGTCAAAAGTACAAAACTTAAATTACAAGGAGTGGATTTAAATTGACAGTTTAAGCTTCTTAATATATCCTTATTGAAAAATAAAATGATTTTTACATTTTCAATACTAAATAACAGGAGTTGAAACTTAGTTCCATTTTAACAGTTCTTGTGAAAATTTAAAAAAAAAAAAAGTTCTTAAATAAAATTTCTAAGACTTTTTTTATTAAAGTTCTAAATTTATGATAAAATTTTAACTTTTATTTATTTAAGTTTTTAAAAAAAGTTCCATTAAATGATAAATAATCAGTCATTAGGATTAGATTAGAGTTATAGTTTGTCTTAAATTAATTGCTCATAATTCTTATGTGACGTTTGTTTGAGTAGCTAAAATAAAATCATTTCTTAGATTGACATTTTAACGAAATCGGCAGAACTTTTAAATAAAAGTTTTTAAAAACAAAAGTTCTGTAAAACCTTTACTGTAAAAGTAGCAAGAAAAAAAGGGCTAGTTCCAAGAATACTGAGAACTATCGACAATAAAAGTCCCAGTGCTACTGAAATTTTTTAAAAATAAAAGTTTTAATCCATTACAAGCCATGTTAATAATGAAATATGACAACACTTTTCCCATTTTAAAACTCTTCAGGCATTCCTCCTCAACATTTTGACAAGTTCCTTAATTTAAGACAGTGGCAGGAATAGTGATACAGTTTATTGAAGTTTCTCAAACTTCCTATTCTTAAAGTGGTTTCAAGACAATTTATAGATAACTATGTGCTACTTAAACCTCTTCTTCTTATGCCATTGTTGACAGGAATCAGCTAAGGTGATGTGTCATTGTATCATTACTTTTTCTTGCAAATTGAGTTGCTCACTTCTGGCTTGAGGGCAATGACATTTTTATTAAAAATAAATTCTTGATGCATATCTGTCCCATCAGCCTTATTTGAGCAACCAGTTTAATTTTTTCTATCGATGTCTTTATATTTAGTTAAGGTTCAATATTACTGAAAGAGCTTAAATGCTTGTATATGGAACTGAATTAATTGTTCAAGATAAACTCTGTCTTTGCTCAGCCTTTTATAATAGTTCTAGGCTTTCTCAATAATCACAGTCAAATCTTCCTTCAATTGGATGGCCTGGTTTTTCACAGATTTTTCACACCTCAATATATCTTAAGTATATTGTAACTCTGTTACCCAGTTGAATGAGAGCTTGTAGAGTTTGGCAGTCTTAATGTGGGTGAGGTAGTTCATTCTGCATAAGTTATCATCTGGTATCCCTAAGAATTGATGCTGCCTACCAACAGAGCATCCTCTTTAGGATTTTAATTTGGATATGAGCCCATTCAGTCTCTATTCGCACGAAACTGTTAAGTGTATTGAGTGTAAGGTAGAGAAGTTTTTTAAGAAGTAATAGATGAACCTTTCAATTGCATTTATGCATCAGGATCCCAAATTTCAGATTCATGTAGTATTATTTTAGTTTGTCATAGGTTTGATTTGCAATTCAAGAGTATTTTAAACTCAAAGTTATTAGCCATGTGGCTAAGTTAATAATCATTTGAGCTGAAATAGGAATCTGCATGAGAGAATCTGGCTGATGAATAAAAAGAAGCCCCCAAGTAAATTGATTCATTAATAGTGTGATTGTTATGTGCCAATGCATTGTGGTTGGTGATTCTACCTCGTTTATGAAATGGAAGAAACATAGTTTTGTTTACTTTTACTGTCCAGTAACTTAATTTGGCATTATTGTTCCAGTATTCTAAGATTATGTTGAGGATCTATCCAATTGTTGGTCTGGATCACTAGATCATCCACATATAGTAGAAGAATCAGTGATTTTCAAATCTAAGATTTCAATGCTTCTTGTTTCTATTGCGATAAAGATATCTAAAATATCACCTGTATTGAGGAGGAACAATAGTGGCATCAAAATTTCACCCTGAAGAAAAGAATTCCTTCAGAGATAGGAATATCTTTTGATGAATCATTAGCACTTATGATGATAAATGATGCAGTATTGTGTAGATTCATGATAAGTTTCAGTATTTTTCCTCTTAAACCTATATTATAGAACCTTTGCCACAGCTGTTTATGTTTCACTGAGTTGAAGGCTCTCAGGAAATCAATGAAAGTGGCTTTTACTTTCCTTTTTTTTTTTTTTGAGCCGGAGAGCTAAATTAACAAGTGCTGATAAGATAAAAACATTATCCCTAGAACTCCTGTTTTTTCTAAATCCTATTTGGATATTTGGCAGTAGGGAGCATGTTGGTCGAGGATAGAGTGAAGATGAGAGGTAAGGATTTTTACCATGGTGTCAATGAATTTTGAGGAGTAAATGGGATCCCTCTGGATATCGCCAAGATCTTTTAACTGTGTTTCGTGAGTGAGGGATTTTAGGTTTCGGTAGGATATTGTTTGGAGAGAAACATTTGGTGGGATCATAAGGGTATTGCCCACCATAAGCTTCTGAACCCAGATGAAATAGTTGATACCGTCAACAAAAGATCAATTGGAACCATACATTGATCGAAAAAGTGACCAGAATACACTTCAAGACAAGAAGAAGTAATTTTGCATTGCGGTGATGCCACATTACATGCATCAAAAGCAATCAAAGGCACCATTTTTATTCTTAGCTGGGAACTCTTGTCTCACATGCTGTTTCGACACATTTGGTGGTCCCTTTTGACTACCATTTGGTTTCATCAATGTCTCAAGCACTCTCCATGAAACATTTCAATGATTAGTGAGATTTTGAAAAATGGCTTGATGATTGGACCACCTATAAAGATTTTTATAGGAGGTCATCCACAAATTGCAAAAGAGATGGGGAAAATGTGTTACTAGGGCATGTTTTGAATAAATGATTTTTTTACTTTTCTCTTAACTTAACTTTTTTTTTTAAGAGAAAATTAAGAATTATTAGCTGCCACACCAAATACTGTCTATTTTTATTTTGGCAAAACAATGGAAAAGGGGTTCTTCTTAGCAATTTTTGCTGGTTTTCATCAGAAACTATTTAAAAAAAAAAAAAAGAATGTAGAGAATGAACTCCGTGTTTATGTTGTCCAAGGTCACAATCAACTCTGATAAAATTATTATTATTGTTTTATATACCTTGATAACTTTCACTAATTTTTTAATTATATTTATTTGTAAAAATAACTTGTATTATTACTGCTATATTTTTTTGTTTATATGTAAGTTTATTTTTGCTTCAGCTTTCTTTATTCGACCTTTTTATAAAATGATGTTGGAGAAACCTATTGAGTTAAAGGATATGGAAAGTGTTGACTCTGAATACTACAATTCTCTTTTATGGATTAAAGAAAATAATCCCACCGAACTAGGCCTTACATTTTCAGTAGACGAGGACAGCTTGGGTCATACGTGCCAACGCGAATTAAAACCTAATGGTGCAAATATATCAGTAACTGAAGAAAATAAAGATGAATATATCAAGTAAGTATATAATTCTTATTAAGTATTTTTATTATATTTTTGAGACTCAAAGACATTTTTTGTTATAATTTTTAACGAAATTTATATTTTGATTTGTTAGAAATTTTCAAACCATAAATAGCTCGGTCACATTGTATTATCAAATAAGCTTATCTTGCAAAAGGTAAAGAAATCAGTTAATACAGTAACCACTGTACCTACGTGACGTCACTTGTACCATGAATGTGCCCACCTATGTCTGTCTAACATAACCTTTAGCTACCATCGTCTTGACTACAGTTTTACAGTTGCCTACTGCAGATCAAAAAGTTTTCAGTTATATATTGAATATTTATTTTAATAAATATCTAATGATTAATTTTAATTATGAATGCTCATTTAGAAAATTGTAATTTATTTTGTATTTTTTTAAATTATCCTAATTTTTTTTACCTGGCATGCTGCAGTTAGACGAGTTTTTAATTCAAATGTTTTATAATTCCTTTATTAAATATATGATATTTAAAAATCTAACAACAGTTTATAGATATAAAATTCAATAATAATTCATTTATCGATATAAAAGCATTACTATTGTTTTGCTTAATCTCTGTCTGTTGGTTACATTGCATTTAACTCATTTTATAACTAGTTATAGCCCATGTCGCTTTCAATTTATTTTCAATTTCAATTTGAAAATGTGTTAATTTAATATAAGAAAACTATATAAAATTAATACAATCCTTGCACTTGGTGTTTTCACCTTTTCTGTAGAAATATATGTCGTTCGTTTTAGAAATAATTGTTTTTATTGATACCATTTACATTTTCTGAGAAGGAGTTCGTCGAGGGTGTGGTCAAATAAATAAAAAAAAAAAAAAAAAAATTAAAATATATAAATTATTTTAATTTTTGCCGACGTTTCGACCCACTTTGCAGGTCGTCTTCAGGGCTACAAAAGATACAAACATGTTGAAAAAATAAAAATAAAATAAAAAATAAACATAAGTATATATAAAAAACGAAGAAGTTGTCTGATACAGAAATAAAATATAAAGAAAATAAATACATGATAAGAAAATAGATAAAAGAAAATAAATACATGAATGTTAACGAATAAATGAATGTTAACGAATAAATAGATTGAAAATTGAATAACTATTGTTACAGTAAAGTTAAAATATGGATAAGATAACATAATAATAAGATATCAGTGGATAATCTCTTCACCAACATCCCTATAGATAAAGCCCTTCTTATAGTAGAAAATAACTGGTCATCCTTAGAGTCTCATACCTCCCTTAACCGTTCCTTATTTATTGAATCCCTACAACTTTGTTGCAAATCTGGTTATCTCCAGTTCCATGGACAATTTTACAATCAAATTGCAGGATTAGCTATGGGTAATCCTCTCGCACCCGACTTATCTAACATTGTTCTTAATGATCTCCTAAACACCATAGCCCCTCAGTTTCCTAATGACATATTTCTTATAAAAAAATACGTCGATGACCTTCTTCTCATCGTCAACCCTGATACTATTCCTGACATCCTTTCCGCCTTTAACTCATATCATCCCCGCCTCTCTTTTACAGTTGAATACGAAGATAACTATTCCCTCCCTTTCCTCGATCTTCTCATTAAAAGACATCCCAACAATACTTTATCCACAGACTGGTGCACAAAACCGACATACTCTGGCAGATTACTCAACTACTATTCTCAACACCCCTTTCACCAAAAACTCAACGTTGCCAAAAACCTCATTCACCGATGTTTTTCTCTATCTGACCCTTGCCTACATGAAACAAACACTAGACGCATACAACGGATACTATTGTCTAATAACTTCCCCTCCAACACCATTAAAAAACTTATTACTGACTACAAAACCCGCCCCTCATCCTCCATCCCTTTCTCTAGTTCTCAAAATCAGCCCCCCATTCCTTTATATAGATCTCTACCATACATCCCTTTACTTTCGGATAGAATTCAAAAATCTTTACGTTCCTCTATTCCCAACCTGCGAGTTGCTTTTAAAAACTACAACAAACTTTGTTCAATTATTTGAACATGACAATAATAAGGAATTTTATTATGAGTAGACGCTTGCAATTCGCATAAGTGAAAATGACAGGTACATGATGGGTATTTTAGGTACATAATAAGTATCTTTATAATTTGAAATATGTTAAAGTTAATATATGATTGTAAATGAAAAAATTTTTTTAGACTTGAAAATGGCTCGACGAGCCGAAACGTCGTCATTTTGATGAGTAGTCATTAAGTGACAAAAAATTTTTTTTTAAATTGGTGTAAATATAGCTAATGATAAATTAACTTGAAAATATATATATATATATATATATATATATATATATATATATATTATATAAAAAAATAAAATAAAAAATAAAAATAAATAAAAATATATATATATATATATATATATATATATATATATATATATATATATATATATATATATATATATGAAAGGAAAAGAAGTAAAAGAAAGTATAAATGGAAGTGAGAAGATTAGATAGAGGTTTATGATCGAGACTTTTTTAAAATGTTGATGATTTGGGAGTAGGCGAGTGATAGATTTTGCTTGTCGGTTTGTAAGTTAAGTGGTTTGTAGTCTAATTGAATGAAAACACTTTCCGTAAGTAGTCTTTTGTCGTGGTTAGGTACTGTGGCAAGAATGGAGGTATTGTCAAAGTCAAATGTGTGGTTTGAGGATAAGGCGTGTTCAGAGAGTTTAGAAGCGGTAGAGTTCTTAGAAGTAATTGAGTATTTGTGTTGTTTGATGCGGTCTTTAAGTTGGTTTTTGGTTTCTCCAATATAGGCAGAGTTACAATTGGTGGTAGAGCAAGGAATGCGGTATACGACATTAGAGCGGTGTTGCGGAGGGATGGGGTCTTTTAGGGTGGAGTAAATATTGGCAAGTTTGTTGTAGTTTTTAAAAGCAACTCGCAGGTTGGGAATAGAGGAACGTAAAGATTTTTGAATTCTATCCGAAAGTAAAGGGATGTATGGTAGAGATGTATCAGTAATCAATTCTTGAGCAAATGGCAAAAATAAATGTTGAAAAGTTATGAAAGGCTATTCCTAAACGACAATTATTTCATTAGGGTTTAGGTTCCCTAAACTGCAGCAACAATAATATAAGAGAACTTCTTAAGTTTCCCCAGAAACTATTTTGTTTACTTACACTTGTCAAAATGTAGACACGCCCATTGAAACTAAAAAAACTTTTCATGTTTTCTTTGTTTTTGATTGATATTTTTTTATACGGAGATCCGTCATGAGAATATTGGCATATGGTTGCACTTTCACAGTTCCTAACCGAGACTGTTCGCTTAAAATAAGATATGAATAGAGGACCAGCTTTTCTCCTATCCGAGTACTGGGTGTGTGACGCATCCGAAGGTGCAGACTCGAATTCGCGAGCCATCTTAGAGGACATCATCCGATGCCTCACGAAAGCGACAACCTTATCTGTGTTAGGGAACTCGTTACTCGCGTGAGAGTTCAAATTGACGTCTGGTGGCTGCGTCCAACGCGCGTAGAGCCAAGGTGGACATTACTACGTCTCCTTCATTTTCCAGAGCCAACGCGTGAAAGCTCTCAATACTTTCACCCACAGCCGCGAGGTACGAGGAATACTTTTAATTTTATGATTAAGAAGTTTCTGGAGGCAACGCACCACGAGAACGCGCGGTTTGTCGTAATCTCGCATGAGAGCGTCCCAGGCCAGCTAGTACGAACTGAATGGAAACAAAGATAGAAGTGACGCCGGTTCACCGTTAAACGCATTTTTCAAGTAATGCTTTTTTTTTCTTTTTTGGGTCCTCCCCTTTCTTGCCGTTAAGTCTATACGGGGTTTTCCCGGGCCGGGGGGTGTGGGTGAGGATTTAAAAGACTCCCTCGGCACTGGGACGCGAACTCGTGACTATTTTTATATCATTTGATTCATATATCAGGTTGCCGGGCAATGCCAGTGCTGTGCACACGCGTTAGCCTATTCGGCCTCCTTGTCTTATCGGCGTTAAGTGGGTGTTGTCGTGGATAAGGGACACGTAGGTGTCGCGAAACCGTGTCCACCTCGACAAATCCCCTTTGAAAACCAGCACGTCTATGATGGGAAGTTGAGGCGGATAAATGGAAGGGATTGAGCCAGACTTGGCTTTATTATCAACCACGTTGCGATTTGAGCTTAATCTTTGATATCTTGCCTATACTTTACGTACTTCTCCCTTAATGGCGTCATAGCTTGTTTCCCAGTCGGGCGGGTAGGCTGAAGCATCCTGGGATGTGTAGAGCTTATCCAATTCCTCCCATATGTTTTCAAATTTGTCCCACATTAACTTTGACTCCTCATAAATTACTTCGAATTCGAAGAAGTCTCCGCCGCCTTAATCCGCATCTCGGATAAACAATTTGTTGAGACCGCGCTTGAGATGGCGAAGCTTACGTTCAAACGTGTTACCGTGGCTGGAGTAGTTGTTCAACTGTTCGTTACCACCACCCTTGGTTCCAAATGAATTTATAATTTGAAAAGATAAATACTGAATATATTAAAAAAAATTTAAAATTTTAAACATGTTGTGGAAAACTTCAAAGAGAATTTTCTGTAAGAAAATTTTGAGAGAAAAAAATATTTAAAGATTTAGAGGCAAACATGCGTGAGAAATAATCTAATAAATATATATAAAAATTAACAACATGAAATATAAAATAAAAAACATGCACACACTTAACAGTAATAAATATATGAAAAATATAAACAAGTTCGAATAAAATCGTTTATACGTTAAAATACAACAATTTTAATAATGATGCAACGATTTTAATAAGCATAGTTGTGTTGCAATATTCTGCACATATATTATTGTATACGTATGTTATTCGCACATTTATGAACTGACAATAATTAATCACACCAAATGCATCTAAGCTGAAATCTGAAATAATGCAATAAATTCATAAACTATATAGCCAGACCTGAGTTATTTGGATGCTGGAGACTTAAAATACGTAAAATGAAAGTGCAGTTTGATGAGGGGCCGGTCTCACGCCTTCTCTCTCTCTATTCGCTGTTCGTTCAAAGTCTTGGAGCTGGTGTAGCCGAAGGGCTGTAATTCTTGAAGTCTGGTTACGTATAGTTCTGGTTCTGTACTTCTGCTAGCATCTAACGCTGGCCTTAGATAAGGCCGTCTTAGAGAGGGGGTAGTGCAGGATGAGACCAGGGGTCCCCCGTGTTATTTATACAAGCCAAATAAGAATTTAATAATCAATAAAATTGTGGATGTAAATCCAACACCCTCCTTAGGCACTTGCCTTTGGCCTTCACTACCTTGGCAATCGAGTCTCAGGAAACCCCTACAGCTTTAGTTCATAGCCTGGAGGGTAATCCTGTCCCAGTGATATGTTTAGTACAAGCTTTCGTTGTGGGAATGTCAGCTTTAGGTGCCGGGCATAGATGAGCCCCTGCCACTTGGCCTCCTCACCACTAAGCTTGAAAGCCAACACTTCGAACTATTCAACCTTATCAACCAATCCAACAATCCAATATTCTGGAGTGACCCTTGCATCCTTTACTGAGTGCCCTGGAGTAGGGGCTGATGCTGGGGGTAATTTAAGTAACGATGATTGTGGCAGCTGCCCAAAATCTCCTTTGATGCCTTCTTATAGTTCTTGAGAGCTTCAGTGTGGTAGGAGCTTCTTCCTGAGAAGCAGAAACTCCACTTGCCATCCCCTTCACAGAATGGAGGTTTTAATCCGTAGAGCCTAAAGGTAGGCTGATTTCTTGGAAGGTTGTTGGGGTGAGGGCAACGACACCTGTCTCAGCTGTGGTCTCCTTATTTGCTGCCAGCCCTTCATTTCCAACTTGAAGCTCCTTGATTTCATCGGTTAGAAATTAAACAAGTCATCCATCGATGCCTCGTCAAGGGTAGAGTCCAGAGGAACCCGTGAAACATTTAGAAGTAGATGTCAGAGGAGGATGTATCCTCTTCAGAAAAATAAGATTTTGTTGCATTTTTGTTCCCTTAAGTATGGGAGGAAATAGACTGTAGGCACTGTCCCCCTCTCCATACATACGGCTACTTTCAATGTGATGTTGCCTTAAATTAAATAATAAATATATTATCTTATTAAATAATAAGATAAATTAAAATATTTAAGTACTGTATTTAATAAATGTTAAATTTAACATCTGTGTAAAATGTTATGATAAGAACTACATTTTTTAAAATTTTAATATTAGAGGATAATGAACTGTATGATACCATATGAAAAAATTCAATAAATTATAATAGTTTACGAGTAGTGAAAATTATACTAGTCTAGAAAAATATATTTGTATATTTAAATATACTAGTCATATTTATTGATTTTTTTTCACATTGTTTCACATAGGCCTTTATGTTCTTATATTAAAATTTTAACAAAAAATGTACTACTGATAATATTTTTATGCCTTACCATTACATGAAATACTTATATATTTTACACAATATTATTTTTTTTTCAATTTATTTATTAGCAGATAACATATATTAGGTTTTCGTATCTTTTTGTAATATTTGTGGGTTGATGATTGACTGTAGTGAATAATTGAAGAGAAGGATGGTTGGGGTGATCAGTCAAAATAAAATAGTAAAAATAAATTATTGTATTTATTTTGACTGATCACCTCAACCATCCTTCTCTTCAACTTTTTATAATAGGTTTTTAATAATTTTTGTTTGGTTATCTTGTCTTTCAAAGCCCCCAATGTAGGTAAGAAAGTAGAGCAGAGTGTTGGCACAAAACACATTTTTTTATTATTAATGTTTTACACTGTGAATGAAACCCCCCAACTAACTTCTCAACCATTTAATTATTCTTAACAATATTGAAATATTTCTCTGATTACTAATACTTAACTACTCTGCATTTAAATATGACACAATGGTGAAAAGAATTATAGAAAAAATAAAATAAATGATCTATATAAAAATGATCAAAGTAAACATACAGCGCTTATGCACCTTATTATGTGAATTGTAGACACCTCTGTGTTCATCTGAAAAACTAAATACTTATGATTTCCAGTGGCTCACAAAAGGTTCAAATTAATTTTTGAGTTTTTTTTATAAATGATATGCCATTGATTTTTAGTTTTTTCTCTCTTAATTTTTTCTTGAAATATTATGGTGGCTGAGCTTATTAATATTGATATTTAGCTATTCTCAGAAGCAGTATCAGTTGAATCTATTCTGGGTGGAAGGGGGGAGGGAGGATAAATTTCATTTCATGGAATAGATCTCAACCTTTCCTACCCTAATTGGGGTAAGTCAGAACATTAAACCCAAATTAACAAACAATTTTCCTTTGGGAGTAACTTCTTGTTCATATTATGAAAATGTTGTGATCCATTTTCATATAGAATCATTTAGTATATATTACTTTGCAATAATTCATTCTACTTTATTATTATTTTATTGTATTACATAATTTTATATTTATAATTTAGTTAACATTAATATTTAAGAATTAATCATCCCCCGAGGCGTCTGAAAAGAATACGGCCTCATGATCTCCTATTATAGATACTTTATTAGTGTGCTACCAATGGGTAGATTCTCTAGAATTCTTTTCATGTTATTTTATCTTTCTGTACACATTGATTAGATGTATATTTAACTCAAACAGTTGTGAATTCATGAATAAAAAAAAATGTATCGATTATTAATTCATTTTGTTTATATTTTTTGACACACATTTTTTGAAAATTTTAGGCTAGTAATTGAATGGAGGTTTGTGTCAAGAGTTCAAGAACAAATGAATGCTTTTCTTGAAGGTTTTAATGCTCTTGTTCCATTAAGCTTAATAAAAATATTTGATGAACATGAACTTGAACTTCTTATGTGTGGAATTCAGAATATTGATGTGAAGGATTGGAAAAGCAATACTGTATATAAAGGAGATTACCATGCTAATCATATTACGATACAATGGTTTTGGAGGGTAAGTTGCTATTTTTTATTCTCATACAGTATTACATTTGTTTTTAATTATATTCACTATTTATAATCATTTTATAAATAGGCAAACACAATTCGGTTCAGCCCCTTTTACTCCTCTACTATTCAACCGATTTTCTTCCTTCTTTTTTTGTTTAATAGATATTGACGAGCTTTAGTGTTATCAATAAATAAAAATATTAAATAGTTTGTGAATAAATATATAAATGGTATTTTGTTCAAAATGGCTAATCTCCAAAAGTTCTTCACCGATTTCTTTTAAATTTTGACACAACGTCGCAATAATATTTAGAAGTGTTTTTTTATACGTTTCATTATCATAAGGCCTTTCCTTTCGAAATGGTGGCCGAAAAACATAATTTGCTTTAGACTGTAGCGCCAATACGGCATTAACAATTTTAATGAAACTTGGCTAGAGTCTTCCCCTTGAAACATTTATAATTTATGTATAAAACATACTTTCCCGAAAACAAGCTGCATAAATTTTTATGATGAATTCAGTATTTTATTTGCGAATAACTCAAAAAGAACACATTTTTTTATCGATAGTACCAATATTTATTTGAAAGCTTCCTGAATTCCCTACAAAATATTTTTAAAAAATCATCGTAATCGGACTATTTGTTGCAGAGATATATCATTTTAAACATTTATTACTTTTTCTTTTGCAAATTCGATTTCCTTTATTTTGGTTTTTGATAAATCGAATACTTTTCAATTACTAAGATAATTGGGACTATTATTTGAAGAGATGATGTAATTTAATTTTAGTGGAATGATACCTCATAAATTAAATTTAAACATAAATTCTATAGTCATACTCATTGTTAACTTAAATACTGCACAAGCATTAGTTATTGGAATACGAATGAGAGTGAAGTATTAACAGGGGCTATTTTAAATTAAAGAATTTTAATGCCAAGAATTAATTTAACATTTTCTGACACAATACTTACATTAGACTTTCAAAGAACAACGTTCCTATTAATATGTGCATTTTCTATGACCTTAATCAAATAGCAGGATAAAAGTTTTGGAAAAATGTGTGTATTATTGCGACGTCCAGTAATTTCGCATGGACAATTATGTGGCAGCAATTAGAGCACGTTCATTTAAAATATTGAAATTTATATCTTCAATGGCAATGGGCATGGCTATGCACTAAATAATAACAGAAGATTTAAAAAGAGCATTGTTTACAGAGAAGTTCTGAATAAAAATGGATTTAAAGTGAATTGAAATTGCTAATTTAAATTTATTTTTAACTTGCTTAATCATAACATTAATTTATTGTGATAATAATACACATAAATTAAAATGGAAATTAAATATTTTTGAATGAGTTTATTTGGTATTACTTATAAATAATTTTAAGTAGCTTAAGCTCAATTTTTAATTGAAATTGAAATTTTGTTTGTATTAATAAATGAGGATTTTTGAATCCTGATTGATTTTTTATTTATTTAATTTCTTTTTTATTTAATTATATGTTCCCTCAAATTTTTAATGGCTATGGTTGAATTTCCACCACTGGGCGAACACTAGTAATAATAATAATGCTTATTTATTCTGGAATGAGTTCCTTTAGAATAATACAGAAAGACAGAAATATGAGCTAAGGACCCTCAGAGAATCAAAAACAAAAATATAGAGTAAATAAATAGTCATAATAAAAAATAATAAAAGAAATTATGAGTTACTTTCTAACTTAAATCAGTTAATAATAAAAAATAAAAAATTTAAAATGTATGAAATTGTTAAACAAGTTTAGGACTATGGTCTACACAATCTAGGTTAAAATCTTCCATTGAAAAAACAAAATGCGCGCTTTTTTCAAAACTAAGAACACCAGATCCAATACAGCTGTTTAATAAGATCAAAATTAAATTAAGACAGCATTGTTTATTCTTCAGCTTTCCTTAAACAACTTTCACTTAGACTCAGTTCATCATTCTGGTATCTCTCATGCAACAGGTGCCTTTAGAACCAGCCTTATCAATAGCCTATGCGCACAGGCAGATCTAAGTTGGATGGCTTTCGGGCTGAAGCCTCCCTTCAAAATTGGTAAAATATAACCATGTTTTATGGAGAAAAATATTTTAAAATTATCTATTTAAGTATTATTGTTTGTGTAATTACATTTAATAGGATTTTAAGAATCACATAAACACCATTTCGTATAATAATAATACTTCATTTATTATGGGATGAGTCCCTTTAGAATAATACAGAAGGACAGTAATGTGGGCTAAGGAGCCTCAGAGATACATAAAAAGAAATGTTGAGTAATGAAATAGTCATATTAAAAAATTATAAGTTACTTTCTAACTTAAATAAGTTAATTATAAAAAATTGAAAATAAAGTAAAAATAATGAAGAACAATCTAATAATTTATATACATATTTACAGTAGCAACTATTTACAATTTTATGAAGACTGGATGGATAAGAAATGATTGAGCAGGCGGGATTTAAAGGTAGGAAGGGTATTGGATTGACTGTTGTGGGAAGAGATGAGGATCTGTCAAAAGCAGCGGTTCAGTGAGCCCTTATGTATAAATCAGAAGACCGGGAACGAACAGAGGATTTGAATTGAAGGAGCTTGGAGATGTATAAAGAGCGGTGGGATTGGATGACTTGAAAGAGGATGGATGTCAAGAAATATTTACAATAGTAGAGAGGATAAGGCCACTTCAACTCTGAATAAAAACAGGAAACAGAGATGTTCTTTGGGACCCTGAAGATGAATCGTACAAAGCAATTTATCAAACATTTTAGTTTCGCCTCGAGATCCTCAGAGGGGACCCCCATTAGCTCTGGAGCCAGGGTCCAAAAATCGACCTCATCGATTTTTGACATTTTTTTGTTTTTTCACTTATAACTCCTAAACGTTGCATAAAATTGAAAAGTGTGCTCTTTAATGAATAATGATGGAATATAAAAAATCTAAGTTACATTATAAGTACCATATTGTGGGAATGCAAGAAAAATATAGGTATTCGGGTGTTGACTATTACCTTGGAACTTATTTTAAGAAAAGGAAAAATTAAAGTAAAGCATTAAGTTGCGAACTGCTTGTATTCCTGTTTGAATTGTAGCAAACAGAGTCCGGGCATACCATTACAATCCTCACAGAACTAGTGACTTTTCGTGTTTTCTTATTTGCCTCATTTCTTTGCAGGGTCTTTCTCAGTTCTCTGTAGCATTCTCTAGACTGCTTTTGCTGTTTTCTTTCCTCACCTGAAGGCCTAATAAAAAAATGGGCACAACGCATTAGACCCGGTGACAGTGGCTGGCGCTGAGTTGCGAGTTCATCAGCGAAAACTTTGTAATTGATATGAATTTTTCTTTTTTCATGTTAAAGATGACCCAAGAATTGACCACCAACGTTCCAAACATTATCTCAATCACCATGCATGTGTACTATCCTGTCACCGCAGGAATATGTATCGGACGGGGGGGGGGGGGATGATACCGTAGGGAAATAATTTGTTATCAATATGGTAAGGTATCGGTCCCCAGTATGCTACAGCTTTATATCAAATATAGTGATTATTTAAGTTTGTATCTTTGCACCTATCACACTCTCATTCAAATATTTTTAAAAATAACCATTTTAGAGACTTCATAAGACAGGCAAAATTCTAAACAATCCCAGTTGTCGAGCAGACGAATATCAGACTCTGGGGACCAGAACTGCAGCTAACGCCATTTTAAATCATGAATATTTCACTTATTGAAAAAATGTTACAGTTATTCTAAAATCTTTTTTATTTTATTTTGTATTTTTCAGGTTGTTCTTTCATTCAACAATGAAATGCGTTCTAGATTACTTCAATTTGTAACTGGTACATCAAGAGTTCCAATGAACGGTTTCAAAGAACTATATGGAAGCAATGGGCCACAGATGTTCACTATTGAAAAGTGGGGTAGTCCAGAAAATTTCCCCCGTGCTCATACTTGGTAATTAATTAATTCACTAATACTTAACAAAATACAGTGAAACTTCCCATAGCGGACAATTATGTATTGTGGGAATTTGGTTTAGAAATAAGAGTTACAGTTTTAACCTATTTTTTTTATAGTTCTAAACATTTGACTATCAACTTGCGTCTGATTAACTTTTAAAGAAGAAAATTGAGGTTTTAGGAAAACTTTATATTCAAATATTAAAACTCAGGTATGTAGCATTTTAAAGAAAAGAAGGAATTGTGTGAACAATAGGCCTGGCACAAAAATGTTTATGCAAAAAAACAATATCCCAAAACCTCAGATTTCAAAGTAGATCAAGTAACATATGAAAGGTTTTGTTCTGCGCATACCTTAACCTTAACGCTCCAGCATTCACGATTCCATTTCAAATACAACTACCTGTGAGTTCACATTTTCATAGTATATGAGTCGGTAGAAGCTGCATCCCAAATTAGATTGGAAAATAATTTCCCTTCCAAAGAAGACACTAAAGAAGTTGAATTGTTTTTATTTATCTAAGTCAATACAAAACAGTTATGTAACAAAAAGTTCAAACAAAAATTACATTTTACAATTTTAAGTAATTTGATATTTTAATTTTTTAAAATTCAATTTCACATTTTATATGTGCACTTTTATGTTTTTAAAATATGTTATTTCTCATAAAAACATATTTAAATAATAAATTGAAAAATAAAAACTATTTTTAATGAGTTAACTACAATATTTCATTCATATGACTTATGAAATATAATTTTAATCTGCTAATTTACATTTGGTTTTTTATTTTTTGTTCTTGGCAAAAAGAACCAATAGGTCCAACTGCCGGACTTAGTCCCCCCACCAGTACCAGTATCAGTATGTTTTGCTTCCAATGTCCCTAAAACGAAAATCTCTCTATAGTAGACAAAATTTGATTTCCTTTATGTGTCCATTACTGAGAAGTTTCACTATAATAATTATATTTTTTTTAAACACATTTAGAATAATCATTAAAATAAAATAAATTACAGTAAAAGCATTATGATTATGGCATTATAATATCTCTCTGCTGAAAGGCCATTCGAAATAGTAATAATTACTTCAAGAATTCATTCATAAGGTAGATTTATGCATAAGACAGGTTTCAGAGAGATGGTTGACCATGATGATAATATGGGAAGGAGTTGGTCGGGGGGTGCATTCAAATGAATACTATATATCAAAATAGTATTTTATTATATAAAATTCATTTAACCGCACCCCTCCCCTCTCCCCCGACCAACTCCTCATAATATTAATAAATGAATAAAAAACCATTCATAACAACTATAAAATTGTTTGAGAAATTCTGAATTTGAAATGAACTGAATAATAGTTTTTATATAATGAATTAATAAACACACAAATAACTTTATAATGTAAATATTTAACTAAGAAGATAAAATCTATACTAAAACAAATTTATTATGAATAAAATTAAAATCTACTTTAAAAGTTGGTCTAAGGGGGCTGTGGCCTTGTAGCCCAGTCACTATACTCCTGCTGCTGGCCTTCCAGCTTCATGGAAAATTTACAACGCATACATACACACAAGATCACATTCAAACATCCAAGAGTCACATCCTTTATATAGTTGTGTTTGGTCGACTTGGCTGTTGACTGATAACCTGATTTCCTTGCACCTAAGAAATCAATCAAGCTTAAACAAAATAAATTATAATACACGGAACTACATGATAGCCTCATGGAATGTTTTGATTTTATACTGGCCTGAAGTGTTGAAATTGAGTATAACGGATGCATACTACCTTGAAAGTAAAAACAGGGTTATCCCTGAACTTATTGATTTATTCAAACCTAAAATTTGTGATTCTGGATTTACCTGGTACCTGCATCAAGACCTTCAATTAATGGTAAATCTAACTTCTTGGTCTGGGAATGAAGAATACTAAGGAAGATTTTTGGAGCCGTCAGAGAGTAGCAAAGGTGGAGAATCAGACGCAACATCGAACTACATGGTGAGCCTGATATCCTCAGTGTTATTAAGAAGAACAGATTCAAATGGCTGGGTCATATTGAATGAATGGATTTCAGTAGACTGCCAAAAATGATGCTGAATGGTACACCAGGTGTAAAAATACAAAGATGCAGACCCAGGCACCAATGGCTGAATGATCTGGAATTGAGGAGGCTGAATATCATAAATTGGAAAAACCTTGCTGTGGACCGTGAGGAGTGGAGAAAAGCATAGACTGCCTGCTCCGACTGCAGGAGGGTTGACTCTCAATGAATTACTAATCAAAAGATTGGTACATGGTTTTTCATTAAGTCTTCACTATTAGTACTATACTACTTAAGTACATATAGATAGATTAATGTATACTATGGGAAATATCTTTTAAATGGATGACCAATAAGTCTCATAAATGAGAATTTATTTTCAAAATATTGGTCCTGAAGAACTTCATAGAAATGGTTTGATCTTATCTCATCCTGATTTTTAATGTAATGTTCCCTATCTATAATTATATTTAAATAAATGTTTGAAATTTCATTAATACTCATACTTTCTATTATAGTTTTAATCGTCTGGATTTGCCACCTTATGAAAGCTACCAAGACTTAAGGGAAAAACTAGTCAAGGCCATCGAAGGATCCCAAGGTTTTGCTGGAGTTGATTAGAAGTTATATTTTATTACATGCCACTTCTCCTTTGGCTAATATTTTCAGAATTAAAATATATGTATGTATGTGTGTATATATATATATATATATATATATATATATATATATATATTTATATATATATATATATAACTTTTAAATTTATATATATCCTCGAATTTTAAGCCCTTTTATATATTTCGATAATGCATAATATAGTAAGCGTAAGCTTTATTAAATAAGAGGCAATATTAATTGGTCATTAAATCATTTAAAGCTTACTTTGTAAAGAGCACATTATAACCACTCCTTAAAAGTATAATTGAGAATTCTTTAGCAGTAATATAAAAAAATGTATATTTTGTTTTTATACCTTTAAATGAATTTTGTTGATTCTCATTGCTTTTTATTTTTAAAGGTTTATAGCTGTTTTTTTTTTTAACATATCTAAAACTGCAACAATAAACAAAGAACCAGTTATTGTTATTTATTTATTAATGGATCATTTGATTTAGTTTAGTTTTGATTACTCATATTTAAATACTGAGGGTGAAAATAACAGTTTTTCCCTCTTTAAACATTGTGATAGTCATCCGTTGCAATGAAAAAACTGCTATATAAAACAAATAAAATTCCTAATTTACTCCCTAATAGGGTATGTAATTACAGTTTTTATTGTTATTTTATCTGCTCAATAGGTCAACTATGTAAGAAGCCTAGTTTTCTTTTTTTATTTTCTAAATGATAAATCTCTTTTTTCCTGAGAAAAAATACAAAAAATAATTGAAAAATTACCAAACCTTTATATGATATTGAAAGTACAATAATGTTAAAACCCATTTATATTTCTGTCTATGTATAAGGATTACATGAATATCTCTGAAATAAATAAAAATAATATTCATTGAAAGTCAAACAATGATGCTTATGAAATGTTATTACTATTTAATTATTATTAATTTTGCATTAGTGATGTTCACTAAATTCAGAGCAGATTTCATATTCTCCGTCCTATTAGCAGCCTGATTTATTTTTGCCATAAATTAGTTATTCTCTTCTTGTTTTGTGATTTTATATTGGACATCTACGAGTTTACTTGAAAAATTTACTCGTTTCCTGTTTGATCTGCTGTTTAGTAATGTATATCCTATGATTTAATTTTTACTTATTTCTGGGTAATTAATTTTTCAATAGTATGATCTATGGACAAGTTTTCTTACCTCTATTAAATATAAATGAACTTTTATGCTGCTAATAATTGGTGGATTTATAAATATTTATATATTTCCAATGAACTTGAAAAACACTTTAGAAAATGCATCTTTTGTATACTTAGTTAATGTTTATTGCCATCAATGAAAAATTCATATTCAATTTAAAAGTTAACAATGCTTCCCCGCATAACTTCTGTTAGTTGATTATTTTTTTTGTTTGTTTTTTTTTAAATTTATTTGTGAATATGAGAAATATTTCTAAATTTTAAAAATTTTATTCCTGTCACATTTTTTTATTGAGCACTGTTTTTTCTAAAATAATGAGTTAATTCATGTATATTGTACACCTAGATAACTGTGAAAATGTATATGTGTGTGTGTGTGTATGATGTTACTGTTATTTAGTTCATAAGTTCTGTTTGGAAACAATTTAAAAAATAATTACTATATATATATATATGTGTGTGTGTATGTATGTATGTGTATGTGTATGTATATGTATATATATATATATATATATATATATATATATATATATATATATACACCTTCTGTTTCAGGTATCAAATTAGTAATTTCATTAAAGGTCATAAAATGGAAAATAAATTAAGACATTAAAACATTGTTAATGAATTTTTTTAAAAATTATTCTTGTAAAATATAATTTTAGCTATACATATATAAATATTCATGTAAATACATCATTTACAAAGCTTGGATATAGGTATATCGTTCTTGTATCATTAATGGGGGAAGGGGAATAATTTAACATTAAAGATGGATTTAATTTTGCAAGATTTATCTTATATTTATATGAATTAGGTAATTCTTTGAAGTATACATCCAGTTTTCACTGATTGATACCCAATCAGTATAATTGTATATGTATTGATTTTTAAATAGTTGTTAGGATAAAATCTAGGTTTATTTTATTTTTTTTTAAATTTAAGGTATCAGGTATAATGAATCTATTTCGATTTGCTGCAATATTTAGTAAAATTTATGTTAATACACAGGGCTCATCAAATTGTTTGGATGATGGTTTTCTTATCGTATCACCACATTGTGTTACATGTTATCATATAATTACATAAATAACCTAAAAATCTTCTAATTTTTAGTTATTGATTACCTGTAAAGCATGTTAAAAAGAAATAAAACTTAAAATCTGTGATCATGAAATGTGATTCATGATTTTGTAGCCTTTTCTCGGCCTTATATGTTTTCATGTTAATCTTAAAAATAAAAAAAAGAGTAGTGTTTAACATTATTCTACAGAAAAGGCTTCTCATATGTAGTACCTGTATAATTACATTTTGCATTGTTAGCTTTTGAAATTGCTCAAGATGTTTTTTATTACAATTAAAAAATAACAGACAGATTGATTAGAAAGTTATTTATTTTTCATTTAAACGTTTCCATTTAAATATTCTACTAATATCTACTTCAACTAACATCATCATTGGACTTAATTATTACCTTTATTAAATCTAAAAATGATCTTAGTATTAAATATTTATCCAGATGTTATAAAAATGTTATTAATAATGTTTCTTTTATAATATGTTATTTTGTTTGATTTAATATATTTCTCTATTTTAGTCGTCAAGTATTATAAAACTGAACAAATTTTCATATAGTTCTCAGAAATATAATTTGTTTGATCTGTTTATATCATGTAATTAATTAATATTTAACTCTGGAATAGTTAATTAGAATAATCTGTGGATATTTTATTGGCTTTCTTGCTAATAAAGTTGTATACATTACCTTAAATCTAATTGTAAAAGCTATCCAAAGCTTAAATCTGATTGAATGGATATGATAAAACCATGTTTATGCTGTGATTATAATAAATAAAACTGTTTTATATTATTTTCTTTAATAAATAAGTATTTTTTAATCTGTATTATATTTGTAAATATTATATTCAAAGTCCTAGGGTATATCTAATAATTGCCTAGTTGTATATTTATAGACGATAGTGTTAAACCATCCATCTACTTATCTTTGTAAATTAATTTGCTTTATTAATGACATCTTAGTTATCAAAATTATAAGGTTAAGAGAAACTATTGATATTTTTATATTATGACAGTCTTTCATTGGGTTTCTTAATGTTCCATAATTTTATGATGTAGTTATGGTGATTTTGTTTTTATTTCAACTACATTTATATATGTATATGTGTATATATATATATATATATATATATATATATATATATATATATATATATATATATACATGTATATATGTGTTGTAAGGTCAGTAATCAAGCCTTAAGTTTATTATTATTTTTAAAGCATTTAATGAAAAATATTTAAAAAGTGTGTATACTGTTTTGGTTAGGAATGAATGTGAGCACCAATACATATAACCATTTTTAAATTGTGGCCTAGAAGAAACTGAAACACTACTTGGAAATCGATTCCTCTATGTTTTTTTCTAATTATGATTTATGTGATGGTTAATTAATTTTTAGAAATGAATTTTTGAAACTTAATGATTTGATTAATAGCTCATAATTATGAAAATTTTATCTATAATTTGATTTTTACTTACACATTATTTGTGACTTAATGGCTTGAGGTTTCTAATAATTATCCTGTTGTACCATATCATTGTGCTTTTTCTGAATAATTGAAAATTGGAAATAAAACCTGAGTTCTTTTATGGGAAACAATTTTATAATTCAAATTTATACCCTTTACGTTTTTTTTTGACAATTAATATTCCTCAGTAAAATTTCTGATCTTTATGTGCATGTATACATATATATACGAGGAGATAATCCACCAAAAATGTAGTTAGCCACATTTTCTTATCCCAGTATATTCAAATGTCAAAATTTGAAACTTGAAATAGTTTTCCGAAAAAAAATCCATTAAACTATTCTTAAATTTTCTCTCGAATTTTGGAATCTATGGCCAATTCCCTATAAGAAAGAGCAACCATTTTGTAATAAAATTTGATCTTGTCAGACTGTAACAGCAACCAAAACAAAGTAACAAATAAAAATAAATAATTTTCATGAATACTATATAAAATCTTACTTTATGGATTTTCGAGCTATGAACTTGAGGATTCCAAAAATTTTCCTTTATTTCATCAGCTTTCAAAGAACTTAGCAAAGCTAGTTAGAGTTTAAAGATATATTAATGTTGAAAGGTAAAAAAAAAAAACTGTGTGACATCTACAATGATACGTGTACCTGTTTGGTTTTTTTTGTCCTTGTCTTGCTATCTTGTATGTTAGGGTTAAGGGTGAGTTACTTCTATAAAATTTGGACTGCCTTTTATTATTTCTCCAATATTAATTATCTTTTATCTTTGGGAAACATAAAAATAGTTATTTTGGTAAAATCATGCATAGCATCAAATTTGTAGTAAGGAAGATAATAGTATAAATGATTATTCATTAAAATGTTGCTACATTGAGAAAATAGAAAAGAAAAATATCAATGTTGATCAGAAAAAAGGTTAGGCTACGTTATTTTTCTCATGGACACTCAACATCTCAGGTCTTTAGTGTCCTGTTTATTTTTCCTTACATTTTTTTCTCTATTCCTATTATATTTTGTTGAACATACTGTTTTTTGTTTCTTTTAAGGAGATCTATTATTGTTACTATGGTTGAGTTATCTCCCAGGATAGTTTCTAGGTTTTGTTCTATTCCTGAAAACACTTTTGTTCTATTACAAAAAAAACTTTCTTGCCGTGGAGTCTTCCAAGATATATCTGATAGTCAATTACATATTGCATGTTCCACACTTAGAAGGTAAGGCTATCGATAAGAAAACCA